ATCAACAGCATGAGCATCGATTTACGCAATTGGGAACCGATGACATGTCAAGCCAGCGAGCCTGACCACCTAAACCCGTTTAACTAGTCGGCTCTAACGACGAGCATGGATTACTGATGACCAATTCTAACCCGAATCTTCACGGGTCGAAATGTAAACCTGTACGTAGACTAAGGCTTAGTCTCAGAATATATAATTTTGATAGTAACAAACAAGCCCATTTATATTGAAAAGGAGCCCTAGGGAGACCAGAGGAAATCTAGACTTGCTTTATTTAGGGCTTTGGCACTGCAGAGAGGGCTTGGCAGTAGGGAAAATAATGTGGTTCAGGGACTGTGAGACAGAGCTACCTGTACGCTGTAGCTCCATGTTCAACAGCTGATTTATTTCTCTCACAAACGGTGGTGCATGAGATACAATCATATTCAATTTTCAAAGTGTACCAACCTGTTGCTCGAGGGTGGAAACTTCGAGACAATATCACGATTACAAATTCCATCTGACACCAAGTTTGTGGGGTTTTATTGTCAGAGGATTGTTCTTACAGATCATATCTGTTGATACCTCTGTGATACTGTTCGTAATTTCGAGTCACTGAAAGTCATTATGGGGATACTTTTCTGGAGGAATCTCGCCTGGTTTGCGGTTTTGAAATATACAGTGTCAAAAGAGATGCCTAACATGTGTGCCAGCAGAGACCATATACCGATATGGTCTCTGGTGCCAGTAATGTATCTTTGGAAGTACCATGAAGAAACAAACACATATTGTACCATCTGACCATCATTCGTTCAAAGGGAGGTAACTGAGACTTAGCTTCGCTCGAGGCATTTGAGCTGGCAATATATATTCTGACCTATACAGGGAGTTCGTTAGACTAACAGCTAAACTCTGAAATGAACATATTTTACAGAAACATAATGTTTTTAAATTAAAATAAAATAAAATAAAATAAAATGGGGCTCAGAGACTTTCCATATTTTCTGAAACTGTGGTAATCTAGACTTGCTACAGATTCTAGACTTGAGCATAGGGTATATTGGTTTCAGGGTCTGTATGGCAGACTAGAAGATCGTAATCAGTTTTGTTAAATAAAGTTGTTTGGTGTGGACCATGTACTGTGTGACTGAGAGGTCTGCATCTATCAGAGTAACAGTACGTGTGTTTGGTGTAGGCCGTGTCTGTGTGACTGAGAAGTCCGTATCTATCAGTGTAACAGTACGTGTGTTTGGTGTAGGCCGTGTCTGTGTGACTGAGAAGTCTGTATCTATCAGTGTAACAGTACGTGTGTTTGGTGTAGCTGTGTGTGTACTGTGTGACTGAGAGTCCGCATCTATCAGTGTAACAGTACGTGTGTTTGGTGTAGGCCGTGTCTGTGTGGACTGAGAAGTCTGTATCTATCAGAGTAACAGTACGTGTGTTTGGTGTAGGCCGTGTCTGTGTGACTGAGAAGTCTGTATCTATCAGAGTAACAGTACGTGTGTTTGGTGTAGGCCGTGTCTGTGTGACTGAGAAGTCTGTATCTATCAGAGTAACAGTACGTGTGTTTGGTGTAGGCCGTGTCTGTGTGACTGAGAAGTCTGTATCTATCAGTGTAACAGTACGTGTGTTTGGTGTAGGCCGTGTCTGTGTGGACTGAGAAGTCTGCATCTATCAGAGTAACAGTACGTGTGTTTGTGTAGGCCGTGTCTGTGTGGACTGAGAAGTCTGTATCTATCAGTGTAACAGTACGTGTGTTTGGTGTAGGCCGTGTCTGTGTGACTGAGAAGTCTGTATCTATCAGTGTAACAGTACGTGTGTTTGGTGTAGGCCGTGTCTGTGTGACTGAGAAGTCTGTATCTATCAGAGTAACAGTACGTGTGTTTGGTGTAGGCCGTGTCTGTGTGACTGAGAAGTCTGCATCTATCAGAGTAACAGTACGTGTGTTTGGTGTAGGCCGTGTCTGTGTGACTGAGAAGTCTGTATCTATCAGTGTAACAGTACGTGTGTTTGGTGTAGGCCGTGTCTGTGTGACTGAGAAGTCTGTATCTATCAGTGTAACAGTACGTGTGTTTGGTGTAGGCCGTGTCTGTGTGACTGAGAAGTCTGCATCTATCAGTGTAACAGTACGTGTGTTTGGTGTAGGCCGTGTCTGTGTGACTGAGAAGTCTGTATCTATCAGAGTAACAGTACGTGTGTTTGGTGTAGGCCGTGTCTGTGTGACTGAGAAGTCTGTATCTATCAGTGTAACAGTACGTGTGTTTGGTGTAGGCCGTGTCTGTGTGACTGAGAAGTCTGTATCTATCAGTGTAACAGTACGTGTGTTTGGTGTAGGCCGTGTCTGTGTGACTGAGAAGTCTGTATCTATCAGAGTAACAGTACGTGTGTTTGGTGTAGGCCGTGTCTGTGTGGACTGAGAAGTCTGTATCTATCAGAGTAACAGTACGTGTGTTTGGTGTAGGCCGTGTCTGTGTGACTGAGAAGTCTGTATCTATCAGTGTAACAGTACGTGTGTTTGGTGCAGGCCGTGTCTGTGTGACTGAGAAGTCTGTATCTATCAGTGTAACAGTACGTGTGTTTGGTGTAGGCCGTGTCTGTGTGACAGAGAAGTCTGTATCTATCAGAGTAACAGTACGTGTGTTTGGTGTAGGCCGTGTCTGTGTGACTGAGAAGTCTGTATCTATCAGTGTAACAGTACGTGTGTTTGGTGTAGGCCGTGTCTGTGTGACTGAGAAGTCTGTATCTATCAGTGTAACAGTACGTGTGTTTGGTGTAGGCCGTGTCTGTGTGACAGAGAAGTCTGTATCTATCAGAGTAACAGTACGTGTGTTTGGTGTAGGCCGTGTCTGTGTGACTGAGAAGTCTGTATCTATCAGTGTAACAGTACGTGTGTTTGGTGCAGGCCGTGTCTGTGTGACTGAGAAGTCTGTATCTATCAGTGTAACAGTACGTGTGTTTGGTGTAGGCCGTGTCTGTGTGACTGAGAAGTCTGTATCTATCAGTGTAACAGTACGTGTGTTTGGTGTAGGCCGTGTCTGTGTGGACTGAGAAGTCTGTATCTATCAGAGTAACAGTACGTGTGTTTGGTGTAGGCCGTGTCTGTGTGACTGAGAAGTCTGTATCTATCAGTGTAACAGTACGTGTGTTTGGTGTAGGGCCGTGTCTGTGTGACTGAGAAGTCTGTATCTATCAGTGTAACAGTACAGTACGTGTGTTTGGTGTAGGCCGTGTCTGTGTGACTGAGAAGTCTGTATCTATCAGAGTAACAGTACGTGTGTTTGGTGTAGGCCGTGTCTGTGTGACTGAGAGAAGTCTGTATCTATCAGTGTAACAGTACGTACGTGTTTGGTGTAGGCCGTGTCTGTGTGACTGAGAAGTCTGTATCTATCAGAGTAACAGTACGTGTGTTTGGTGTAGGCCGTGTCTGTGTGACTGAGAAGTCTGTATCTATCAGTGTAACAGTACGTGTGTTTGGTGTAGGCCGTGTCTGTGTGACTGAGAAGTCTGTATCTATCAGTGTAACAGTACGTGTGTTTGGTGCAGGCCGTGTCTGTGTGACTGAGAAGTCTGTATCTATCAGTGTAACAGTACGTGTGTTTGGTGCAGGCCGTGTCTGTGTGACTGAGAAGTCTGTATCTATCAGTGTAACAGTACGTGTGTTTGGTGCAGGCCGTGTCTGTGTGACTGAGAAGTCTGTATCTATCAGTGTAACAGTACGTGTGTTTGGTGTAGGCCGTGTCTGTGTGACTGAGAAGTCTGTATCTATCAGTGTAACAGTACGTGTGTTTGGTGTAGGCCGTGTCTGTGTGACTGAGAAGTCTGCATCTATCAGAGTAACACAGTACGTGTGTGTTTGGTGCACAGCTTTAGTCAGGCCGTGTCTTAACTAACTATGTGACTGAGAAGTCTGCATCTATCAGCAGTAACAGTACGTGTGTTTGGTGTAGGCCGTGTCTGTGTGACTGAGAAGTCTGACATCTATCAACCACGTGAGCATGTGATGAATGGATGAACACAAGTATAGCTTTGTAATCATTAATGGGTGAATGAAAATAAGCACGAATGAATGAATGAGGTCTTATTTTGCATTGTTTTATATCTTGCTCAGCTACAGCCAAATTTGTGTTTGATTACTGTATCAGTGCTGAGAATGCTTTTGTATATGTTCATCATTAGCATGTCTGTATATCTTATTGTTATTTTCTCTACAGGCAAACATTTAATACAGATACAGCAGTGTCCCCAGGTGTGAAATAAACCTAGGCCCACACACCTGGTAGGTTTATATATTGTATATATGTCATGTATATCAAATGAAATACATTTTTGTTAACAGTAATTGTTTACTGAAGCAACTATTTTGTAATGTTATAACATATGTACGAATTATATGTGTATATCTGTGTTTGGATATGTGTATATTGCTGCATTTACTATATTGCACACCTGATTGTTTCAGGGTTGTCGTTTTCACCTATACCATATCTCCAATAAATCATCGGCCATTGAAGAACAAGAAAAGTAGTGTCTGTTGTCTGTGCGTGACTGACGCAGTCCTGCTACAAGTGTAACATAACGTGTGTTTGGTGCAGGCCGTGTACTGTGTGACTGAGAGGTCCGTATCTATAAGTGTAACAGAATGTCTGTTTGGTATAGGCCGTGTACTGTGTGACTGAGATGTCCGTATCTATAAGTGTAACAGTACTAGTGTTTGGTATAGGCCGTGTACTGTGTGACTGATAAGTCTGTATCTATCAGTGTAACAGAACGTGTGTTTGGTGTAGGCCCCTAATATTTGTGTTGTACGGCTGTGTGGATCATCTTGGTGACATCTACTTGAGGGGAGGAGGGAGGGGGATGTCTAGGTCGGTCCGTGTAACTTTTCCTATTTCAATACACTGTAAAGTAAAAGTCAGAGAAGGAGGCAGCAAATTTAAACATTGCCGGTTTTATCAAACATGAAACCATTGCCTATGAAACAATACACACGGAACTAAGGGAGGGGGTGGGGGTTGCAGCGGGCCCAGATTTTCACAACAGCGACGCAGGATATGCCCCATTGAGGACAACAGGGGAGCACGGTAAGACATGTTACTTTCAACTGCGTAAAATATACTGTTCTCTGTTTGTGCCCTGACTACTAACTTGAATATTTGATAGGGACTGGGTGAGACACACTGCTGTGGATATATTATATGTGGAGTAAACATCGGGTCAGCGTGACATTCATCAGCATTGTACTCTGGCCTCTCGCGCCGAGCAATCAGAACTGATAGTACACCGTCTTACATTAGTCCTGATAACGCGGTACAGTTACCTATATATGGTCATCCACATTAACGCATGTCCGGTTCACCATGGATAGATAGTAATGTTTATCTAAAAACAATATTGCCAACCTTACTGTCCTTTGTATATGACACGAGTTCTGTATTAATGGGGTTACGCTACAGATCGGAAAATACAACACAGGTTCATCATACATACTCATACACGTCTAATTATATTCTACAATAGATATGTTACACTACAGATTGGAATGTACATCCACACGTAGAATACAAATTAAACGTGAGTGATGAACGTGTATATGTATTTCCGATCTGTAGTGTGACTCCATTAATATGTTAAGCGTTTGACATACAAAAGATAGTATATATTACTGGTCAAAATAAGTTAGGGATGTTGGTATTTTTAACATTGCTATTTTACTATTTTTGTCCAGTATATATATTGTAGAATACAAATTAAACGTGTATGAATATGTATAGTGCACTATTTAGCTCGTAGTACTTTGTCTGTTATATATATATATACTATCCAAAACAGAAACGCATAGACGTTTTGTATTTTTACCTATTGTGTTCAACAGAAGTGTTGATAAATGATTTTACACAATTTCACAAGTGAAAAATCGACTTTGCCCGAAAATATTGATTTTGATGATATTTCTTACAAGGATTGAAAACTCATCGCCACAACGCAACAAAAGTCACCTTCCAGTTGAAATTGTGCAACAAAGAGCATGCATGCACTGTCTTGCTATAAAAATCCAGATTCCTTTCGGAAATCGGCATTCATTTTGAAGGAGTTTCAAGGTCACGATCGCTGCTCAACGTCTTGACGCTGCGACACGGAACATCGCCATTGAAAGAAGGCACGCTGGGCCTAGATTTTCGAAGCTCCCTTAGCGCTAAGATAGTCATAAGGTAATGTTAATGTATGGCACTTACGACTATCTTAGCGCTAAGAGAGCTTCCAAAATAAAGGCCCTCGAGATTACCAATATTCAGGCGTCTGAATGTTAGTCTGAACACGAGATCACGGCGTCCAGCTCGTTACAACCAAACAGGTATACCAAATGACCGTCCCCGTACAGGCAGACCTAAAGTAACCACTGCAGCCCAAGTTCGGTACATTTGCGTGATCGTACTGCCACGGGTGAGAGCACAGCAGCCTTCGGAGGATATCCGGTCAAACTGTACGGAAGAGATTGAGAGAGATTGGACTGACGGCCAGGAGACCCGACGTCGGGACCATGCTACGTCGTCACCATCGAGATCGAGTGAGAGGGAGAGAGAGAGAGGGGTGGGGGGTTAAAAAGGCGATGTGCAGTGCAACGAGCTGTGTATGTCCAGTCCGAAATGTATATACACACTTTGCAATATGCACTAGTGTTTCTGCTCCAGGATATCGAAGCGAAAACCTTCAGAGAGACCCAGTTTGATGACTGCTTATTACAGGTTCTTCATCAGTTCTCGGCAGCACACACTCGCATGCAAGAACGTACTCACTAAAATCGTTACTTGACTGAAAATGTGTAATCCAAACTATAACATGTGTTATATTTCACCACTTTCTAAATGCTTGTTTATTCATTACAATGTGTTGTTTTTGTAGAATGAACACAATGGGAGATAACCCAGATGAGGAAGCTGACTACAATGACAAGGGGCGACACATCCACCTCCCCTGGATGCACACCACAAGAACAACAGCAAATGCCTTCCTTGCTATCGCAGAGCTTACAGGCATCACAAGACAAGGGTCTGGGCGTGGCATACCCCTCACACTATGTCCAAATGTAGGAACAAGACCACATTCATCAGGCATTGATCAAACTACATCCTTCATGGCATCTTCAGGAAGGGACACGCCTATAATATTCCTTGACAATACATCGGATGTGAAGCAAATGGGAGACGCAGTATCGTCAAGCGTTGATCATCACGCTTCGTACGGAGCACCTGCGGGGAGAGACGTATCAATATCAAGCATTGATCAAACTACATCCAAAGTGATGCATCCAGATGTAGAAGCGCCTGTCTTATCCTATGATAAGACAGCCCAAGGCACACCAGATGATAAGCATCCTCTTCAGGGATGTGAAACGTCAGACGCAGTGGCCACATCCAATAGGAGACAGGTGTCTCATTCAGCTGACCCTCATGAAGATGTTGTAGCTATGCCAGCAGAACAACCAGGTAGCGTTAGTGGTGTAATGGCTTTGTAGCTTAAGATATTTTCTGTTGGTCATGTAGGTGTTGCAAATGTGTTACAAACAGATATGACGCTAGACATTAGTGGCATACAACTGACAATATTCCCGTTAGGATTCCTAAAAGGTTTAAGATACGTCTATGGTTGTAGCAGAGACTACCCAGGGGGTCAGGTGATTGGGTTCGGGGACTTGATTGCAACCCGACGGCATGGATCGTTCATAAAGTCACTCACATGCCTAGTCCAGGCTGAAATATTTATATGTTGAATAGTGCTGAGTCGGACTTTAAAGAACAAACAAACAGAAATTAACATTCATTTGTTGATTTGCGTTGATTTTACAGGCGTGACTGTTAATGTTTTCCACATCGTGAACAGTGAGGGAGTTCAAGTCACCCAGGAACAGATCAAGGCAAAAGGTAGGCCTTCGTTGAGCGATTGCTTCATGGAACCAATGATCCACATCAATAGCTGACTACCCACTTTGTGGGCTATTAGTTAGGATATCCAATTTTATTACGTTGACTTAGTCACAGGATCCTGTACATGTAGTCAGATCTGATACAGCACATGAGTGGTTGATGATGCGAGTGTTTTGCTGCTCTCACAATGGTACGAATGTCTAAGTCACAACAAGGAATGGATTAGTTGGGGTAAATACGAAAAGTGATTGAAATATAGAATAAGACGAGCATGTGAACAAATGTCCATACAACACCCTACTCTCACTCTTTTATATCCGAACGTGATCGTTTTCCATTAGCAGCATCAGTCGACCATGGAACCTCTACAACATGGAAGCCAGAAGCCAACAGTTCCGTACAGCCGAGAACACCCAAGACACGCCGTCCCAACTCTACATCACCACGGCTGAAGGGAACGATACACCCAGCAACAGAGGAAGGTCATTATATAGCAGTTGATGGTGGTTCTTAATGGCTTTTCGAAATATCGGGGTGGATCATAGAAGCGAGGGCGTGTTTCATTCATTCATTCATTCATTCATTCATTCATTCATTCATTCATTCATTCATTCGACGCGTCTGGGGTGGAACCATCGCCCTCCTGTTATCCGGTGGCGTTCGGTTGGGATGGTTGTGTTTGCAGCAATACAATAGGTTTGGTACAGAATACATCTTAGGAATGCTATTCTATGTTTCAGATACCAGTCGTTCACCCAAACCGAAGTGGATATCTGGTAAGCGTATTTTTCATCCAAGCTGGCTTCCGCAGGGATTCTGTTTGGGCCAGATCAAGTGATCTCTGCCGTGATATATCACTGCACTGAAACTTCATAACGATCCTTTGTAGTTGATTGTGGTATCGCTGGTTACCATCCTGGCGCATCTCAGAGTTTTGAGCTTCCATCAACCCGTGTTGATATGTTTGCTTCAAACATTTTTTTGTTGTTGTTGTTTTAGGGTGGGTGAGGGGTAGTGTTAGGGTATGACGCGTCCCGGGATGGGGCCATTGCCTCCTGTTGCTCGGTTAGTTCTATTGTGGTGGTTGTGTTTGCAAGAATACTTAGGAATGCTATTGTATATTTCAGATACCAGTCGTTCATCCAAGCTGAAGCGGATATCTGGTATGTGTATATTTCGCAGGGATTCTGTTTGGGTGAGATTAAGTGATATCTGTTGTGAGATATCACTACACTGAAACTACATAACAATGCTTTAGTTGCCATGATGGCACGCCTCAGAGTTTTGAGCTAGCATTAACACGTACTGATATGCTTGGTGAGAGCAATAGCGTAGTGTGAACATACAAGAAGTAGCTCTACAGCAGCAGTAGGCAACCAAGCCAGAAGCTTACAGGGTTTTTTTCACTTACGCAATGTGAATACAGCAGCGTTTAAAATTCCCGCCTGCCCGACCGTCCGGAAGGTCTATTTTCAAAAGTAGCCTGTCCGGTGGTCTGGTAGATGTTTATAACCCTAACAGTAAATATTTCATAATATCAGACAGGTTCTCGTGTCGTCAGTTTGAGGTGTCTAAGGTATTATGATAATTATGTTAAACTATGTACGATTGGACAGTTCATTTTACAATAACCAATCACAACACATGTACTTTCAGTTTACATAAAATCGGTGCAGTGCCTGTTAGTGCTATATTGTTCATTGCGATGCCTACAAACAGTAAAGTATCGTTGAAAACCGGACAGGCAAGTTTGTATCCGGACTGGTAATTTGTTTTAAAGTTACCAGTCCGGCTGTCTGGCTTGGAATTTTGGGAGTTTTAAACACTGAATACAGCCTGACGTACTTCAATTATAGCATGTTATAATGTTTCAGACAGAACACAACAATTATTACATCTGACAGAAAAGGAGATGTTCACACCAACAAAGACACTGACAATAACCAAGAGGCTCCTGCTGGACCTAGGAGTAGTACTTGTCACGGGCAGGTCAGGGGATGGGAAGACAGCGCTATGCTACAGAGTTCTGAAGGAAATAGCAAATAATCAGCGCAGAATCCCACTCATCATCACCACGCCAGATGAATGGAAAAGTATACCACCGCCAAGAGACATGAATCACATTTCTGAGGATGAAAGATATGTGGTTTTCATTGATGACGTATTTGGTCGAACAAATTTATCAAGGGAGGATCTTAGAATGTGGGAACGTGAACTGCCGATTATGTGGCCTTCGGTTGAATCTGGACAGGTGCTCCTGCTGCTCGCTTCAAGAGGTAACATTTACAAACAATGTCAACTAGGTCTCAAGGGTCACAAAATGTTTTCTGCGTTGACAGAAGTAGGGTTAAACACAGACATGTATGGTTTGAGTGTGAAGGAAAAAATGGAAATGCTACAAGCATATCTGAACGGAAGAACAGCGCTGAAGCTGACTTATGAAGAGATGAGACAAGCTGCGGAGACAAGCAATGAGCTAGGTTTTCCACAAATATGCAGGTTTTACATCAGCAGCAGAGAAGCCCAAAAACGAGGAGTCGAGTTCTTCAGCAGACCTTTACAGTATCTGATGGATGAGCTACACACCCTCAGGGAGTTCGATCCCCAAGCCTATGGTGTATTGTTACTTCTTGCGTTTGAGGAAGGTGTTATGAAACAATCTCATCTTGACCCATTTTCCTCAAAAAGCGGACCTCTCATCAAGAAATGGGAGCTGATAAGATCTCTATGCAACATAAGTCCAGAATCTGGACTTGGTGACCTTTGTACCGTTGCCAAAAGGTTATGTGGTGTGTATTTGTGTTTTGTTGGGGGGTGTTATAGATTTAGCCATCAATCCATCCATGAGACTATTGTCTTGGAGTTCACATCAAAGTACCCGGGGAAGGGTATAGAAATTGCTCCAGTTAACGTTATTATGGAATTTATCAGGACAGATGAGTGTGAAGACAAAACTACCACATGTGTAGTTCTCAGCGAGGATTACTACAAAGATTTAGCGGTGAGGATAATTAAAGAACTAACCTCCAGAAATTCTGAAAAGGTCATGGACCATTCTGCTCTAAGGAATGATGCCTTTGTACAGTGTCTTTCGAATGCACTCTCCGAGGATGACCGGCAAACCTTATGCTCCACAACTGTACCTTCAACATACACAGATGTAGGGGCTTATTCAGTGTTTTCAAATGATTACATTACAGCTAACTACCATGATAAGTTGAAATATGTCAACACTGACATACAGGCCATGCCGCTGCCTGTTCCACAGCTTTATGTAACATCAATACTTTTTGTCAAAGGTCTACATTCCCTTGCCACAATACTTACTCAATCGTCTGTACAGGGCTGCGATATGGATATGAACATGTTTCTTGCAAGCTCCGCATTTGTTGGTGACTTGACCACTGTTGAGAGGCTCCTCAGTATTGGCATAGTTCCCAATGAATCTTGTGTCTTGGCTGCCCTTATGTCAATGGGAGACAATGAACTAGTTGTAAGGAAACTCCTGTGTCACCCTCAAGCTCCACTGCTTCATGCTGACATGCTGTTGTTTTCTTTGAAACTTTCTGTACATTGTAACAAGGTAAATACATTGAAAGTTGTCATGAAGACCATAGTCAACCATCAAGAAAAAGAGAAAATGGTTGACATTGTTGCCAAATTATTTTTTGTTCTCATGTCAGCTGTTCAAGGAAGTGTGCCATTAAATTTGCCCAGGACAGCAGCCAATCAACATTATCACACACCTTCTGTTGCCATATTCAACGTGCTTGTTACAACAGATGCAGCTTTAGACTTTGCCAAAATCCTAATCTTTATAAGCCAGACCACAGATATTGAGTTACTAGAAAGTATCATATTTGAAATAAGGAAAAGAGAAAAAGGATCTGTAAAGTATCAACAATCAGCTGGAATATATAACGACTTAGAAACTGATTGTTCTGTACCTTCAAGTACAGCTATTTGTCCTGAATTTCACCTCAAGTCTCTGATCAATTCAAAGGACAAATATGGCTGCACACCTCTCCACAATGCAGCTTATGAGAGCTCAGCAAAATTTGTACTGTTTCTGTTGGAACATGGTGCAGACCCAAACTCTCAGACAGTCACTCACGAAACACCGTTACATGAAGCTGTTCGGTCCAAGAAAGATCGCTTGTCGAAACTGCAGTGCCTTTTGGCGGCTGGTGCCAGTGTAAATGCGGTAGACATAGGCGGTTACACACCACTTCATTCCCTGGCTCTGAAAGGCAATTTGGAAGAATTTCAATGCCTTCTTGTCAAAGGCGCAAACCTGAAAGCTGACAGTCTAGGCCAGACCCCTCTCCATCGTGCAGCAAGTGCATTTACAGTTGATGATACTGTAATTCAGCTCCTGGTGGAGAAAATAGATGACATAAATTGTGTGGATTGTTATGGATGTACACCACTAATCTATATTGCTGGAAAGGGTTCTTTTGCCACGCTGAAACATGCAATAGAAAAGGGGGCTGATGTGAATGCCAAAACCAAGATGGGGAAGACAGCATTACACGAGTCAGTTTTGTCCCCATTGAATCAGTTCGTAAGGCAGAGTTACTCCTAGAACATGATTGTGATATCAATGAAATCAACGCTGAGGGGTTTAGTCCACTACTCTGCGCTGCCCATGAAGGTTCCTTTGATTCGCTGAAGCTGCTTGTAGATAAACAGTGTGATGTTTCTGTGAAGGACAAGAAAGGGCAGACAGCCCTGCATCTTATACCTCATTACTCAATAGATGACACAAAGAAAATCAGGTACCTTATAAAGGCTGGAGCTGACATTAATGCTGTAGATGTGGTGGGCGCTACTCCACTGCATGCTGCAGCTGGTGAAGGGTGTTTAACATCCGTGGAAGCACTTGTCAAGTACAAATGTGATATCAACATACGCGATAATGAAGGGCTCACTGCTCTGCACAGGGCTGCACAATCTCTCACAGACTCTGAGGCAATCATTGAGCTGTTAGTTGTTCAAGGGGCTGATGTCAACATGAGAGATAACTCTGGATTTACACCTTTGTGTCATGCAGCAGGGGATGGAACGTTGAACAGTTTGCAGACTTTGGCGGCAAACAAAGCAGACGTGTTTGTTAGGAGTTCCACTGGAGAGACGGTGTTACACATGGCAGTTAAGAAATACCAAATGTCTTTAGAAAAGTTAGAATTCTTAGTGGAGAGAGGGGTCAACGTGAACCTTCTTGACTCGTCCGGAACAAGCCCTCTGCATTATGCAGCTCTGGAGACATCTTACGAAACTGTAAACTTTCTAGTGGAAAATGGTGCCAATGTCGAGTGTGCTAATGATAGTGGAACAACTTCACTTCACAACGCAGTGGCGTCAACAATAGACAGTAGGCGAAAGGTTGAGTTCTTGATCAAACATGGAGCTGATGTATTTGCAGAGGATAGGAACGGCGACACTTCTCTACACGTAGCTGCCGACAGTGGCTTTGGTCAGTTGCAACAGCTTTTAGTTGACCTCAATGTAGATATTTCAAATACCGATAAACAAGGAAATACTTTGTTGTACAGAGCAGCCATGTCTAGCCGTGGTATCATTTCGAAAACATTACTCTTACTCGACAAAGGTGCAGACATCAATGCTCCAGGCAAACGTGGATGGAAATTGATAAACTGGGTCATTTCTTTGGGGATGAAGAGGACCTCACAGGGCTTCTAGAAAGAGGTGCCCGTGTTTCAGATATAGATGAGGATGGATCGAGCCTCCTTCACAAGGCAGTCAGGTCGAAAACAGACGCCTTGGCAAAGGTCCAGCTGTTGTTGATCAACGGTTTATCAACGAACGTATTAGACGGAAAAGGTTGCACACCACTGCATATTGCAGCCAAAGAAGGGTTGTTCCAGGTAATGAAGTTCCTTCATGAGAATGGTTCTGACACTTCAGCAAGAAATAGTGATGGCAGAACAGCATTACATGAGGCAGTGGTATCCCAAATTGATACACATATGAAGGTGGTGTCCCTGGTGGAGGGAGGTGTAGATGTAAACGCGGTCGACAACAATAAAATATCTCCTTTGCTTGACCTTGCGAGACAGGGACCATTTAAAACGCTTGAATATCTAATCAATCAAGGAGCTGATGTTAGTGCAATAGACAGTCTTGGAAAAACACCTTTGCACTTAGTTGGGGGCTCAGGGGTGGCTGATGTAAAGACGGTTGGACTGCTCATTGACCAAGGTTGTTCTGTGAATACGGAGGACTCTGAAGGCCACACCCCAATGCATTATGCATCTGTGGCAGGGGATGCTGACTGTGTAAGGTATCTTGTTCAAAGAGGTGGTGCTGGTCCGGATGAGGAACAGGCGGAGGTTTAGCCCAGTGGTTTAACCTGTTGCAGGTTCGATTCCCAACTACCCGTGAAGGTCCGGGTTAGAATATTGATCTTCGGTAACCCATGCTTGTCGTAAGAGGCGACTAACGGGATCGGGTGGTCAGGCTCGCTGAGTTGACACATGTCATCGGTTCCCAATTGCGCAGATCGATGCTCATGTTGTTGATAACTTGATTGTCTCGTCCAGACTCGATTATTTACAGACCGCCGCCATATAGCTGGAATATTGCTGAGTGCGGCGTAAAACTCAGCTCACTCACTCACTCGATTCCCCACATCGATTCAATGTGTGAAGGATATTTATGTAGGAATTGTTCAATCGCATTCACAATCATGATATCTGCTTGGAGACATATAAGACAACGTGATTGTTGAACTCAAGTTGATTAAATAATCAATTCAATCAGTATTGTTTGGAAACTGTATTTTCAAGAGAGAAACCTTATATGTTAAAATCTTTCCATGTATCTTATCATTATGATGCCATTTAGAATTATTAGGACAACGTTAAAGCCTATTCCACAGTACAAAATAAACAACATCTATTCCTGTTACGCCGATAAACTTCATCCGAATCCAGGTAAAAGGTGTATTGTAAGGTTTAGCAAACTGGCCAACTGGTAATCAATAACTGCTGCTTACCTCTATTGTAAGTCCTTCAGTGCAGCGGGTTTTCTTTGTAATGGACACCAGACTGACTGACTGACTGAGTTTGGTTTTACGCCGCTTTTAGCAATATTCCAGCAACATCACGGCGGGGGACACCAGAAATGGGCTTCACACAATGTACCCATGTGGGGATTCGAACCCGGGTCTTTGGCGTGACGAGCCAACGTTTTAACCACTGGGCCACCCCACCGATGCCATTTAGAATTATTAGGACAACGTTAAAGCCTATTCCGAAGTACAAAATAAACAACATCTATTGCTGTTACGCCGATAAACTTCATCCGAATCCAGGTAAAAGGTGTATTGTAAGGTTTAGCAAACTGGCCAACTGGTAATCAATAACTGCTGCTTACCTCTATTGTAAGTCCTTCAGTGTAGCGAGTTTTCTTTTTATCCTGTACTTATCCTGTATCCTATAAATAAATACAGTTTTCTGTTTCTCTCTGTTATTGAAATTGATGTGTGAACAGCAGCAATCAGCTTTGTATATTCTTGACTTATTGCACGGTATAGAATAATACAGTCTTCCGGTTAAAGCTTTGACTGTATACTCAGTTAAAGATTGCTTCCCTCAGGAAAAACACCGCTTTTAACACCGCAATTGGAGCAGACTGATAGTTTGGTTTACGCCGCAGCAATATTCCAGCAACATCACGGCGGGGGACACCAGAAATGGGCTTCACACATTGTACCCATGTGGGGAATTGAACCCGGGTCTTCGGCGTGACGAGCGAACGCATTAACCACTGGGCCACACCACCACCGAAAAACAGACATCATCGACATATAACACCAACTAAGAGGGAGACCTGTTCTGTAGTTAGTGTATGTGTATCTGATGTATTATTCGAGATGTAGAAAACGTGGTGTGGAGGAGGATAGCGGACGTTCGGGAGGACCACATACATCACTGCAACAAAACATCCACAGTCCTATGGAGGCAATCCATTTGCAGCTGATGGCTGTAGGTCGGTCGGTTGGTTAGTTGGCTGGTTGGTTGTTGGTTGGTAGGTTGGTTGGTTGGTTGGTTGGTTGGTGAGCAATATTCCAGCTATGTGCCGTATGTGGCGGCGGTCTGTAAATAATCGAATCTGGGCCAGACAGTCCGGTGATCAACAGCATGAGCATCGTTCTGCGCAATTGGGATACGATGATATGTGTCCACAAAGTCAGCGAGTCTGATCACCCGATCCCGTTAGTCACCTCTACTACAAGCATGGGTTACTGAAGATCAATTCTAACCCGGACCTTCACGGGAAGTATGTTCATGGAAGAGATTTGTGGGTGACTGCGTGTACTCCTTACACTGTGATCACACTAAGGCGATATGCCTCTGTTACCTCACTTTGTTGGGTTGTGGATCCTGTTTTCATTCATAACTGTGACATTTGATCACTGGATTGTCTGGTCCAGACTCGATTATTTACAGACCGCCGCCATATAGCTGGAATTTTGCTGAGCGCGGCGTAAAAATAAACTCACTCACTCCATGAATAAACTGTTATAACCAGACAGATCCGAAGACTATTACTTTTCTGTGCGCATCGACATTCCGTCTGTGACTGGAAGGGGAAACGACTGGTTATCCGTTTTGCAACAACGTTCCTTAACCTGATTCAGGTATTTCAGGGACAGTACAGTACTCGAGTACAGTTACAGGGCCTCCCCTGCGTGATAGGGACAAAAGCTGTCCTTTGTACACATGTTCTCTTGCCCACGGTATCTCACTAGTCTCTTTGGGGCGGTGGGGTAGCCTAATGGTTGAAACATCCGCTTGTCACGCTGAAGACCCGGGTTCGATTCCCCACGTGGGTACAATGTGTGAAGCCCATTTCTGGTGTCTCCCGCCGTGATATTGCTGGAATATTGCTAAAAGCGGCGTAAAACCATACTCACTCACTAGATTTTCCCTTCACTCTTCTCAGTGGATCACACTTCTGATGGCCAAGTAGTTGTCACATTCAGGTAGGTGCTGTACCCCTGTCTTAATGAATCGTCTTGGCGTGTCTTCTATCGCATCTTCATTTGTGAAGAAATGTCCCACATGAATTTCAAGTTGATACCACGAGATTTCTTCAGCAGATATATCAATGGATGTGATCTTACAGCGTATTTTGCAGTGTTCCACGTGACCTATAGCGAAGGATGTCGTCGGACATTATTCCAAATCCATCCCATCCAGAGAGCGTTTGTATGTTAGTAGTCAGGTATAAGATTCCTCCTCGAGTCGGACATGGTGAAATGCATCTTTTACATCAGAGCTTGCAAACCTCTTTTGCATTTTGCCAACTTTTGGAAGATTTCTTCCAAACCCCCAAACCCCACCCCACCCTCCCTGTCTATTGTCTATCACTGCGTCATTATCCATACGTTTGATATCCTTTTTATCCTCTTTGCTATCACTTTGGGTGGTTCAAATGTATACATATATGCTATCTGCTGTCTACCTTTCATTCACCTGGTGAAGGAATACAAATATAAGAATATACCCCAAAAGGTGGTGTTCCTCATAATTCAGAAGTTGCCATCCATTAATTTTCCCCCTTTATGAAAAATGGTATTCTGGAGAACAGTGGGGAACTCTTTGATTGAATTCCTTAGTATAACTATATAGCCCGGGAGTACAAAATACGCCCGGTCGGGGTATGAACATATTTCAAAGTTCAACGCATGACAAATGCAATATTTTTTCAGAAAATCCACTTCGGAAATTCAAAATGTCCTGCCCCTCTCCTACTGGTAAGGAAACCGAGGAAAAGAAACCATGAAGTAGTTTTCAGGTCATAAGTCACACAAATGTTGAAGTAAAGGAAATTTACCGTATTTAAGTTCGAAACTAGAAAAAAATATCCTTATGAAGAAAATACACACATCAAAATCCAACATTGCTCTGCGCCTGTTCTATTAGCGTATAGAAACTGCTCAATATATTGGCGAAAACTATCCACGCTGTAGTTTGCAGGGAGTAGATCGCACAAAATTAGAAATATTCAAAATATATACAATAGTTGTTTTTCTTGAAACTTTGCAGTGCACCTCGCATGTGGGTTTAGTATGGAAGCGTATTAATGCCGCAATCCATCATCTACGTCGATGAAGCTTAAATTTTACGGGGTGGGTACTTTCATCTACTTACAAATCATTTTAAAAAATATTTTCATCTACGTTGATGATACTTACATTTAGGTAAATAATATTATCATCTTCTAAGGACAAGGTATTATATCTACTGTCGAATTATTGACTTATACCAAAACCATATTTTCTTGAATGACTGAGTATCCTGTCTGTTTTACGTAACCATTGCTTAATCAATAATAACGATTTGTTTCACTTTCAAGCACGATATGTGTTTATTGAGATACTATCTGAACAGTCAATAAAGTAAATTTTAATTTAAATATGTTATGTTGTTGTTGTTTTTAAATTCATTTTATTAAATATTTTTTAGTTTTAACGCTGACAGTTTGACAATTCAAAATGACTTCAGAAAATTTATGAAAATTCAGAAAAGGCCTAATGAAAAATATACGACCAGCATGGTGCCAAACATGTGCACAAACTATCTCCAACTACGGTCGTACCTTCACAAGACAATATGGTGGTCTGAATAGCGATACGCAAGATTATAATACGTCATAAATGAAGGTGATGAAATATGTTCTTAGTAGATGGAAGTATCTTCTACGGAGATGAAAGTGTCACCTGCGTAGACGGTAAAAAGTCGTTAAAATAGACTGTGGCACTTATATTATTTCCATTGTATGTAAATATGTTCAACGCAGTATAGTTTTTAAAAATGTTCAGGGAGCGACTCACGGACAGGAGGAATACCTTAGTAGTTCTAAATACGCCCGCCCGTTTAGATCGGTACTTTTAAAACACATACACAAACGCACTTCGGGATAGTCAAATTTTATCGGAAGATCTTTCTCATTCCAGTTTTGCAAACCCGATCCCAATTTTAACATCAACCAAGCGGACACCAAAGATCAGTCATAGGTGTCGCCTAAACGTTTATTTCATCGAGGAAAGAAAATCGAAGTCTTCGCTACCATGGATGAAATGGGTACACCAGGTGAGAATGGGTACCGAGGCCGACAAGGGTAGACATAGAACTACCGTGTTTCCATGTGAAGCTTGAAAATCATTGATTGTTAATGATATGTGTACGAGTTATCGTCCTTGGTTCATAACAAGGCCTGCAAATTTCCTCTTTTTTTGTTTGGTTTTTCACACATATCAACATGTCTTTGAAAGTAATAAAGATTATATATATGTCTGATAACGTTTTGTCGTTTTATGACAGAATAATAGCGTATCCCAAAATTAAAGAAATACAAAAATCACCACATGAAAGTGCTTGAAAGCCGAGTCATAACCACATGGTACAACACGATCCCATGTCAAGAGACGAGGGTTGGGGTTGGTCTACGTTTTGAACTCGGTTACCCGAGCCTTATCGAAATGTATAAACAGATATAAAAATCCCTTCTGTTAACCGGGGCCTTTGTCAAATGTGATTACACATGCTTTAAACCTTCTAATCATTACACACCTAACTGAAGCTTCCATTTTACTTCGACAAATAGACTTGACGTCTGAAGCACAGGGGCTTGTAAGGCTAAAACTGCCATCAAGGTATGAACTGTCATTGACGGGGTCTTAGCACTTTTTTTTATAGTGCTAAGACCCTGTCAGTTACGGTCTGAAGTGACTGTTGGTGTGAAGGATAATCTGTTCACCGTAAATGTTTCTGTTTTGGAAAAATATATACTGGGAATGTGTTTAAATGCAACCTTGAATAAATCCAGGACAGTAGATATATAAATCTCACTGAATGTTTGAAAGTGTATCACCTTCAGTAACACAAACCTTACTGTCTATTTCTGTGGTTTTCTTAATTGGCCGCCCATTTCTGGTGTCCCCCACCGTGATATTGCTGGAATATTGCTAAAAGCGGCAAAAACTAAACTCAGTCAGTCTTAATGGGCCACATGTCCCTTTGTTTTTTAAGTATGTGCCTGGTTCAGCATATCAACTTTACTGGTTATATAACCTTGGATTTATGATTTAAACTAATACTCATCACCTTAGCGATTTGTGCAAGGCTAGGGTGAGATGAACCCAGAAGCTGTGAAATTCCTAGAAATAAAAACATATTTTACATCCTGTTAAAAACTATGTTATATTTCCATTCCATTTTTGATAGGTCAATTTTTGAGCATTTCCGAGTTTTTGTGTTTGTTTAACAAATGTTAGAAATGTTTGTGATGATGGCAACTATGTTGCAACATTACAGGGTCAGTATCATTCACTGATGACACTGAAAAACGGTGCACAGTATGAAGTTTACATGAGAATAACAATGATTTGACGCGGTCATATTTTAATGTGATTCTAAACATGGCAAGGTAGAGAATAGGGATTTACTCATGGCTGAAGGACGTCAGTTTTGTTATGTGAAAATTATGATATTTTACCAAAATATATACTGTTAGCATAAAATGTTTAGATAAAGATCATACCATTACCTTAGTCATTTGTCCGTTAATTACCGTTTGGGTACTTGCTTGAGGAACAAACAAGAAAAACGTAATTCCTTACATCTTTGTCTTTCATTAAGACCCATTTTTTAATTCCTGTGCAGTTGTATTTCTTTATATGTTTTACATATCTACATGCAATAAACTTGATAATGAATGCAAAAGTTTGTTTGCTTTCTCAGATTTTTTACTCCAGGGAATCTGTCTGATGGTAATTACACATGTTTCTAGACCTGCAGGAAATGCCAGTAAAAATGCCAAGGTGGAATTGTGAATTTCAAAGAGATGTTAATATTGCCATAGTATAACTAATGGTTTCGCTTTGTATAGGTGAGAGTCTGAGAAAGATGAAAGAGCATTAATGCTTAATTTCTTTTTGCCTATTATGCTAATGTACCTGTACTTCAGGAAATAAGAACTTTAAAAAATCATAATATTTATAAAGAGAAAATTACCACAATTTGCATGCCAAGTGCATTAAGTTCAGAACTGTTAATATATATAAATATGGCATTCAGTGCTTTATGTGAGGTCCCAGCTTGGAAAGTCGATAGGTCTCTGGAAGGTCAAGGTTAGTGTGCTTGAGATTATTGACTTAGCTTTCAATGTGATATTGTTCTCCCATAATTTGATGGCGACAGTTGGAAGGACTTATACTGTGATTGTAATGATCATTTTGTTACAGAGAGTATTGATTGCTGAAACAAACAATATACTGGGTGTAGTTCCTATAACCTTTTTCAGGCTGCTACTAATGGCTATCACGATGTAGCCAATCATTGCTTGAAAAACTTGCTTGCTTCCCAGGCATTCGATTGTTTGAATTGAGTGGATGCCACTTCAGCACTACTTCTACAGTTGGTGTCACATCCGGTCTCTCTCAACAGTAAATTTCACCTTCTATGTTGGCAGGCATCTAATACTGAATTTCTCCAACCAAAGGAACTTCTAGAAACCGCCTTTAAAGACATGTCATATACCAGAAAAATGGGTAAAAAATATGCCAGTGTCATAACATTGAGACATCTACTCTAGATGTCAGAGCAACCTCATGTTTTGGACAATAGACTTGAGACATCAGGCCATGTGTCTCCTGTAAAATATCTGATTTACTCAGTAAACAGAAGGCATAATATATGTTTCATGATTTCAATCTCCTTTCTTCTTCTGATGACCCTTTGAGGACTCAGTGATTGTCTACAGGACCATCAGCATAATGTGAGATGTTATTCATAAAGTGAATTGTTTTAGCAGTGTCTTTGTTCGAAAGGAAGGCATAGCACTGGCATAGCTAACTACATTTGAAGTGTAGTAGTCATGTTAGTAGAAGCCTTCTTTAATTTTCAATCAACCGAAATATATAGCTGTCAACAGATGTTCATAACAATGCATTGAATAGTTAAGTCCAGTCAATATATAATCAAAGTGACTGGTATAGCTATAGAAAGCTATTTCTTAACATTCACTTCTTGGGACATTCTCCAGCAGGCTTTCAGGTGAAGGGGATGCCTTCTGTGTTTATTGTCTGGCACAACAGCAAATGATGGAATAACACAGGTCAGTTACTTCAAGCATTTGTCCTTGGACATACTGTGTAAGACCATTTATGTGTTTTACTTCTGTCGGATAAACCCTGTTTACTCTGACAAATTTGCAGCTTGCATTGTTTGGGCTGAACAGAGATGGAATGTGTTGAACACAACAAAGTGTGTTTCACCTTCGACTTTACTTTTGGGAAGTAATTGTGGCAGAATATTTTTCTTTCCATCAGTGTCATTGGACAGCTTCTGAAGACTTCAAGTGTCACGATTCTTTAGAGTTGGACTCCATTCTCTCCTTGTCTGATTGCTGAGAGCTTTAACCCATTCAGTACTATAGTTCTATCAGCATCCTAACACTGGGACCATCAGGGAGACTCCATTGGCCACATCAAACTAGTCTGAAGTTTGATTTGGACTTGTGGTTTGTGTAAAAGTACTGGAGTTTGAGAGAAAACATGTTATCACCCTGGATTTTCACTGGTGTTGGACTAATGTCTTGTGTCTATCCATGAAAATCTACAGCTGGTATACTGCTATAACATCTCAGTGTATTCCAAGCACAACATTCGATAAGTAACTCTGTTACAAGATATTTATATCTGGCCCCAAAAGTGGTTGGCAGTGACATTGATGAGGAACCCAAGTTTTTTGCTTTGTGACCTTAAGTTATCTGGTGGTTTCCCTGTATCGATTATTTTTGCCCTGAAGGTCACCTTCACTGCATGGTAACAAGCAATTCATCTCTGCTTGTCCTCAGGCAGATTTGGACAGTTAAGTTTCATATTGTTTGTGTCAGTTCTAACAGGTGTACGAGTAAAATCTGTCCTTGGAAATAGAAAATATTCATTCATCACATATATACCTCAACAAATATGTATGTACAGATAATTTATTGAAAGTTTGACACTGTTTTGATCACTTACCTTTGTAACAACATTAGTTTGGTTGTAATCAGTCAGAAAAATTCCCATTTAAGTCAGTTGTCAAGGTTGGAACAGTAACTTGTTGGTAGTATGGTTACGGTTAATATGTTTTTTACTTTGTGTTAACACAGGTATTGCACGAGCTTGAAAAAGCCTAAAAATTGTACATTTTATCCTAAAAAGGTCCTAAATTCATTTTAGCCTTGAAAAGGCCCTAATTGCGAGAGATTTGCCCCAAAAAGCCCCTACATTTAGCAAATCTTGTCAAGTTAAAATTTTATAGGTAAGTAATTCATAGTAAAAATATCTTACAATGACAGTGGGTGGTAATTATTCTCAGTCTTTAAGCCAAACTATCCCAGTGCAGTGCACAATGCAGCTAAGCATCTGTACGAACCCTGTATCATTTTTACATTTTGTTTTGTGTGGAATTCATTATTTGGTTAGTTGATTTTTGTTCAGTGTTCACCAAAAACTTTATGGACTAACTGTTTGAACATTCACCTGCAGAACCATTTCTAGGCTCCCTAGTAACATGCTGCAATTGTGTTTGAAATTTTATAAAGCCCTGTTCGATATCCCTTGTTTGTTATTACTTGTAATATTCCAGATATATGACAGTGGTAGATATATAATCAGGACCAGAGAATCCTGTCATTGACATGAGCCTCGGTCTACATGGATGGCATGGATTAAGTCAGTGAGTCCATACACCCTCTCGCCTCATTTGACAAGCGTTGGTTGTTATAGAACAATTCTAGTTCTTCACCACTTCTTCACACGGCCCCTACTGTGAAATGCCCTCAATTCTGATGGAGGAATTCTGAAACCTAAGATGTATATATCTACTTCCATGTTATCTCTATCAAACTCAGGCAAAGGTTCAGGCCACATTCCAGTTGTCAATCTGAGTTCTGATGACATTTCACTGAAAGCGTTTCACTTGTTACAGATGATACACCTCATCTCAATGTTGTCAACATCAAGAGGGATTTCTTCTTTCTATGAAGTAATTTGCTTCTTAAACATCATCATCGTCTTCTTTCTTGATGATGACCTGGAGCTATATCTCCATCAGTGCCACTGATATTTAATCATCCAAGTTTCTCGTTGGCAGAGGATGAATAGCCATCTGTCAAATATTCCAACTATGTGTTTCAGTGAAGATTGTTTAGTAGTCCACTGAGAGCATGTATGATGCATTTTTAGTCACTGGTCTGTTGGTACTCAACAAAATTGTGTGTTGGTTGAAAATAACTTTTTTTTGAAAGTAATGTTTCACCTATATTTGATTGCAGGAGGATATTGTGGGTCATCCAACACAAGCCCAGCAGCAAGCAACAACGTACAGAGCCTTGCCTTATTCGAAAAGCTGCAACACCAGATTCCAGGATTTGAAAACATCCCATCACCTAAAGGCCTGTCCCAACAAAAAAGTTCAGATCAGAGAATAAAAGAGCCTTTGAAAGGTGTGTCAAGGAGCAATTTGTTTGTGCAGTGCATCAACAGAGGTGGTGTAGAAAAGGGTCTTCAGACTGATGAGCAGGCAAGTCATACAGCACAGTCTGTCCTAGGTAATCAGCAACTTGAGGGAAAGGTGTATACCTATGAACACACAGGTTATCCATCACCTGCTCTCTCAAATACAGCTCCTTCACAGCAAAATGGCACCTCTTTCAACTCATATCTGCAGTCAGAACAAACACAACAAGCATATGGGTATCCTGTGAATCATCAAGCTTATGTTACCTATCCACATCCACACAGCTATATGTCACGGAGGTATGGAACTCCTGGTGTCGGTCAGGATGTTAATGCAAAAGACATTCAAAACCAACCAAAGGGAAATCAGCCATTTCAGTATGGGTGGCAATTTGACAATGTAGACCGAGATGTAAGGCAAGACGGTAAAAGAGGATATGACAGGGTCAAAGGTTCTACAGGAAGGGGCATTAATAGAAATAGTTACAATGATAGAGATGTTAACAGGGGAACCCACTTGGGTAGAAATAATGACAGAGGAAGAGATAGAAGAAGTGACATGGAAAGGGGTTTGGGTAGAAATGCTAACAGAAGAACTGACACGGATAGAAGACGTGAGCATTCTTTTGATGGAGAGAGAGGTTCATCTGCGGGGCAAAGACGTTCCCCTGTAAGAGAAAGACATTCAGCTGGAAAAAAGAGCTCAACGTCTGGAGAGATTACTAAAGAAAGATCTGAAGGACAACCTGAGGAAAGGAAAATGTTCACTCGGGCAAGAGAAACGCCATCACTTGAAAATTTAAAGAAAAAGAAATCAGAGTATGAATCACGTCTTCAAAAATTGCAAGATGAGATTAATTCCTTTGATCAGAATTCAGAAACACAGGATTCAAATTCCAAATCTTCTGTCTTCAAAAGACCACTTGCTCCTCCTCCTGTTGCTAAATCAACGTCAGGATTTTCAGATGCATCAGGCCCTCCAAGTGAAAAGCAAAGAAAGTTTTCTAAGGATTTCACCGCAGTTGCACCGCCAGTATTTCAGGATGTAAAGCCTAATAAAAAGTCAAAGAGAGAGGGAATGGATCCAGATGTGGTGAAAACTACTTCTGCTGAAGCTACCAGTACCTGTGATGCTGAGAAGGCTTTGATTGCAGAGGCCTCTGCCTCAGCAAAACCAAACAATAATTCTTGGGTCAGAGGTCCACGACAACCATGTCAGGGGGGTACTGTTAGTGACTTTATAGCTAACTTTATAACCATGGTATGCAAGTCCAAAGACGGAGTACAAATAGTAGCTGGCAAGTACAAGTTGCCAGGAAATTGTATTGGGCTTTTGCCACCAAGGATGATACAGGATGTTTGGAGTATTCTAAAGAAACCCACCCAAACAAGGGATGAAATGTTGCAAGATGTGGAGAGGTGGTTGGCACTTAGTGTTATTCCTATTGTAGTATTGATCAGTATGTTTGGAAAGGGTCCACAACCTTTGAAGGACACTCGTCGCATGACAAGTGATGCTCTGACAGTTTTGGGATATGTTTGTCGCAGCATGTCTATTAAACGAAGATTATTGATGCGCAGTGCATTAAACAAGAAGTATGCTCTGTTGTGCAGGACATCCAATTGTATGTCTGATTACATCTTTGGGGACAACGTAGCAAATGATCTCGTTGAAATCAAACTTGGAACCTACAATGTACCAAAATCCAATGAAGAAGATAATGATGATATCTTTGCACTAAACTACAAGATGAAATTCTGTGCTGCTCTTGCTTTGATTGGTCCTGATGCTGATGTTAATGTGGCAGGCATGGTCAATATGGCATGCGCCAATGATGGAGCTGTTGAGGATTTGAGAGAGAAATATCCGATCCCTTCAAATTGCAACTGCCTTCTCCCATCAAAAATAAATCCAGAGATCTGGAGTCTATTATCCCCATCTGGGTTGAACATAGACCATCGACTGCAGGATGTCCATCTATGTATTGCAGAGGGGATGATTCCCCTGATGAAGCTCCTACAATCAGTCCATGATAAGAAGTATGACCCTAATGTAGCCCTGAGTAGTCTTACAGATGCCTTGACACTTCTTGGCAATTCCATTTTCCAACTTAACAAAGTGAGAATGGATCTGATGATGAAGACCCTTCCTGAAGAAGCCCATGGTTTTTGTCGCTGGTATTGGGCTGGGGCAGAAGAGGTTTTTGGTGATCGTTTGGAAGAGGAACTTCAAGTTCGTGATAAGTCTGACAAGAGCAAGATGGCGGAAGTTATGTTAGAGATAGTGAAGTCACAGAACACCAAACACAGCAGTGTCTGTAAGTTGCAGATTGTACTTTCCATGGTCAGTCACCTGGAAAGACTATGTGGCTGCTGTGTTCATGCATTGCGCCAAAAAAATCATTAACATGAAGTAATATGAAAAATATTTTACCCAAGTAATTTATTTACAATTACAGTATAAACCTGATAAGTAAAATTTCAAGGGACTCGCCAAAATTGTTTACTTATCAGGTATTTTACCTATCCAAACTTATCAAAACCCGGGAATGACAGCAGAACAACAGACAACATTTGTAAGTAATATGACATGTTTTATTCCCTAACATTTCATTGCGTTAAGTTATACATTTATAATACAAAGTAATAAAATCATTTTCAATTTCTATAAGTGCAGCGAATTTGTCCTCAATAGACTTTGCCACAAGTTTGCGTTTACCTTTGACAGAGCGATCTGATCTCGGTATCCCCAGTCACGCTAGGTCCTTGGCGAGAATGCTCAGACATTTTGCCAGAATAACTGGTAATTGATCTCTAGATCTCAAATCACCAGATGATTCAACCTTTTCGACTAGATCGAGTTATTAATGGTAAACACCTACTTGTTTGCATATTATGAAATACATTAAACAGTTGTTTGTGAGATCTGCCTGGATCCTTCAGTCCTGTGACTGTTCACAACTTAGAAGTAATGTATTTTATGGTAAAGTACTGATTTCAAGGAATTTATTATTCTACTTTCAGCAGCAGGGTCCAGCTCCACTGGAATCTTAAGAAGATGAGAACTGAAATGTTAAGACAAGCACGTCTGTGACAAGTTTAGTGATCAGGTATTCCCCAACCTTGTCTAATACAAGGACACTAACAGAGGTCATATTGATAATGTGCTTTTGTCAAAGAGGCAGAGTGAGTTATTTGTATTAATAGACCTTTCTGTGTAAAATATTGTGATGAATGTTGATTCTTCATGTTAAGATAGATGCTGTTGTTTCATCATGTTCTTGCTTGGTATTTGCTACTGTGCAGAGGTAATACTACTGTTGCTGCTGTTTAGGTAGCAATCAGGTTCGTTAAATAATACTTTACAATCAGTTTGTAAACTCAGTGTAATTTACAATGTACAGAGGGGCGGTGGGTTCGCCTACTGGTTAAAGTGTTTGCTCGTCACGCCTAAGACCCAGGTTCGATTTCCCCACATGAGTACAATGTGTGAAGCCCATTTCTGGTGTCACCAGCCGTGATATTGCTGGAATATTACTTAAAAGCGGCGTAAAACTAGACCCACTCACTGACTATAATGTACAGATGTTTGAAATGCTTTTAGTGAGTCAGTGAACATGGCTTATTAATAAGCAGAGCTACAGATAACTTTTTTAGCCATTGGGTTATGTACTTGCTTGTGTTCATCTCAATTGGGTATCCTAATTTTCCTTTGACTTTGAGTAACCAAATATATTGTAATCACCTCACAGAAACTCAATGGGTTATTTTGCCATTTTCCATTAATTTTAAAAATATAATAACGTTTAAATGTTAGTGTTTGTTATTTATATTTGATCCGATATGAGAACCGATAAGAAAGACTGCAAGTTGCCAAGTTCATGTCCTGAAATAGAACCTCTCAATATACTGCAGTTATTTTTCTATCTACCCCACCTGTACGCAAGCTAAAATTTGACATTCTTGTGTGTACGCGTGTAAGATCACATTTACTGAGTATTTACAAAAATTCAAATGTACCTGTACGCAGTAGACTTAATAGGAATTGAGTTTTCATATAAATATTTGCGTAATTTACGCAGATACGCAGCTTATCTCTGATGAGATTCAACTATTCATTGGAAGAGATACCAATGCAGATGTACTATTTTGTAAATCCAGGTATGTCTTTATTAACAATAAAATATATTTTACAAGTTAATATGCGTCTTACGTTCACTTATTATTGTTTCCTCATGATCTGCAGTTAGGTATATATACACCTGGTCAAAAATTAAGCAACACCAAATTCATATTTGATTATTATCCCCTGCCGCGCATTTAGGGCGAAGCGGGGGATATAGTATTAGGCGCCGTCCGTACGTACGCATTGGAATATCTTAAGAACCGTTCACTTGATTCTTTTCATAATTGGTACCTAGGTTCATCACAGTATCAGATAGGTCTAAGTCAGGTTTGGTGACCTTGACCTTAATTTCAAGGTCACAAGGGGACTTACCTGCATGTTAAGCTATCTCAAGAACCGTTCTCTGGATTTTCTTCTTATTCAATACAGAGCTTTATCTAGGGAAGGCGCAAGGCCCAGTCGATTTTGGTGACCTTCACATAATTTTCAAGGTCATGGCGACACTTTGACGATTTGAGCATGTTAACCTGAATTGTCAGCAAGATATTTCAAAAACAGTTCACTGGATCTTCAATTTCTTTAGTACCATTTTTTGCATATATCATACACTATGACATTCATGTCAAAGTCAGTCTTGAAAATATGTGTGTGTTTGAACACCTAAAGAGCTAGACATCAAGAGAGGTTGACTGGTCATGTTTTTGTTGACATTTAACTTCATCTTAAACTTTCATTACTTTAAAGTTTGATTTGATAATTGCGGCGGGGGATTATGTCACCTTAGTGACAATGCTTGTTTTGTTTGCATGATGGAATTTATTGCAAAAAAATAGGTGATTTTGGCAATAATGGTCTTTTGTAGAATTTTTATCAGAAGATCGAGATGTTCAAGCATGGAAAACGTGCATTTACTGAACTTTGTTCACTGACACTCATGAAAAGTGACAAGTCCACTTTAAAGTCTTGAACTTAGAGCGCAGTGTACTCGGGGTTCTTAGATCAGAAGTAATTGAAACTTTGTCATGATAAGATGACGTCTGTCTACTGTCGCAAGATGGCAGATTAGTGGGACTTAGAGACAGCGAAATGTCTGTGACAGCTATTGGTAGAAGAACAGGTCGTCACCACTCGGTAGTAAGCTGTTTAATTCACAAACATCGACAAACAAATGACGTGAGTGATCGCCCAGTATCTGGCAGACCGAAAATAACATTTGTAAAGCCACCTCGACACTTGCACGAATTTTGTCCCCGGGCAGGTACGCAATTTTGCGTGCCAATGAGTAAATTTGTCGTGAACATTGCGCAACCTATTCGCAAACACTGCGGACGGTGCGCATACCCAAAGCATGTCAATTTCCAACCCTGCACACATTGACACGCAGTGTCACGCATTGGCCTCACTTTGTGACATGGTCATGACAGATTGTGTAACGTTCACGCCTTCTAACCTTCTAATTTGTCGTGAACTGGGTGGGCGGGACTTGTGTTCTGTGATGACTTGTTCAGACTTGTATAGAGAAGTGTGCCCATTGCCAGTCCCCACATTCCTCAAGCTCATATCGACAGCGAACAACCCACAAGATTCCTACTAAGAAGAAGACAACCAGAGGAAGAGCAGGACCAGCAGTGGATAGAAGAGTTGAAGAAGAGACCGGACAAGAGATCGAGACAGAGGATATTTCTCTTCCCTCCCACTCCTCAAGTACTGATGTTTCTGCACCTCAAGGAGAGCCCCAAGTAGAGCCCCAAACACAGCAGAAAAAGAGGATCAGAATTAGCAAGAAAGAAATAACGGACTACAAATGGACTGATGAGGGAATCATGAAGCTGGCCAAATTTGTTAAGCAGAACCCCCAGCTGTTCTTCAAGAAGCAGATGTTTACAGATACATTATCTAGCTCATAAGAAGGAATGTAAACGCAACTGTTTTATCAGTCCTTTAAATATATTTAATTGGCGATGCAACCTATAGCTGTTGATAATTTCTCTGTGAATCTGGGAGGGATGAGAGAGTGGTTTCATCAGTCAAGTTCTGAGTGCAAATACGTAATCAGGTACAAAATTATATGGCTCAGGTTTGTCATTAGGAAGTGGAGCTGGTCCAGGCAGTCAGGTTCGTTTGTCCTTGATAGCTTCATGCAAAGTACAGTTCTTTTATGTTTTTTCATCTGAAACACCTCCCTCTGCCACAGCATCAACATTCATAAAATAAGAACTTGTATCCAGCATCTGCATAAGCCATGAGTACAATGCTGTGGAAGCCCTTATAATTGTAGTAGAATGATCCAGCTTTGGGTGGCTTCTTCATATCAGCGTGCTTGCCGTCCACAGCCCCTAGACATGGGAGATAGTTCCATCTGGAGCTAAAACCTTCAGCAACCTCCTCCTACTCTTTAAGTTTTGGGGCATCGGAGTACTTCATCCTTGTAGACCTCAAAAATGGCTTTGCATCTCTGGTAAGAACTTGCAGATTGTACTAACTTCAACTCTGAAGTTGTAATATAGGCTTGCATAGGAATTACCAGTGTCTTGGAAGTGAAGAGTGGTTGCCAGCTTGAGTCCCACCTCCAGCGGGTCTGTCATGAATGTGGTATTCTTCTCAAGATGAGGGGTTAACTTCTCTACCATCTTTTTGGAACAAGTCAGGGGAAATTCTCAGATAATTTCTGTAGCCTCCTGGATCTTCCTTGTGCAGTTCTGTCAATAGGTGATCGTAATGTCCGAAGTGATTCCTTTAGTCAACCATTACCACACCCACACTGTGCTTTATCTAGTTAAAGTTACGTCTTCTTTGGCCTGCTCTTACTTCATTTTCTCCTGGTCTTCAAGACGTAATAGTGCTGAACCTGCGAAATATAGACACTTTTTCTTTTCTGCAATAAGAGCTTGTTCTTTGGTGTTCAACATCTTGTAGGTCCACAGCAAGTCAAGAAATGCATGGAGCTGGGAGTAATGCCTGCATTTTATGTAGCGTGGGGAGAAAGTGGGACCAAATAATACCACGACTGCTTCACACATGTGCGAAGTGGTTGTGGCAATGCATGCCCATGCTGAAACAATGCGCTTCGTGCGTACCATGCTATACGCTAGATGTAAACAATGCGTCAACAATACTTGACCTAGACGTAAATAAGTCGTGTGACAATGCGCACCATTTTCGGTCACGCATTGCATGTTAAGTGTGTAACTTATGCGTAAACAGGACACGAACAGTGCGCAAGCGCTGTCATGTGTACGATCTAAATTATACTCATTGCCAAGACGAATTGCGCGGCAGTTTGGAAGCAAAATTCCTGCAAAAGTGCCGAGGTGGCATAAGAGAGAACAGGCGGCTTTGGGGGATAGACGCAAATTCGACACAGTTGAGAGACCCGTGTACGCTAATAAGAGACTCTCTGCAAGGACTGCGAGACGGCGCCTCAGAGCAGTAGGTGTCATTGGCAGAAGACCAATAAAACGTTCTCAACTAACTTGTCTGCACATGCGTGAACGATTGACGTGGTGTCGTGGCTGATCCAAATGGAATTTGGTGCACTGGAAACGGGTCCATTGGTGAGGTGAGCACAGGGTGCTTTTGTGGACTGTAGATGGTAAAGTTCGTGTCTGGAGACAACAAAACACGTGATTTGCCGCTAAAAACATCCTGACAATTCTAACATGCAGAGGTGGATCAGTCATGATCTGGGGTTGTGTATCCTACAACTGCAAACTGCCCTTTGTGACAGGGAATCTTAATAGTGAACGATATCAAGATGCCATCTTACGTCCAGTTGTTGGCCCTCTTTTCGATAACCACCCTCTGCGTACAAGACCTGTCTACATGGACGACAATGCGAGACCACACAGCCAGAGCGGTAACCGAGTTATTGAGACAAAAAGCCATCACCACCCTGCCTTTGGCAGGATGTAGTCAGGATTTGTACCCGATCGAGCACGTTTGGGACATTTTGGGTAGGACAATCAGGAACCGTCACACACATACACACACACACACACACACACACACACACACACACAGAGAGAGTCTGGCTCAGCTGGAAGCAGTACTTTATGCCGAATTGAACAGGTTGCTGCAGAGACGCATTCAAAGAATTGTACAGAGTATGAGACTCTGGTCCAAGCAGTCATCAATGTCCATGGATCCTACACAAGATATTAAGGTTTTTTTTGTTTAAGTAACTTTCAAATGGACTACAAATATTTCTGACACCTAATATGGCCAGTGCCTTGCCTAAATTACCTGCATTGATGATTTCAGCAGTTTCATTTTTTTCAGTGAATGCACTTAAATTCAATAAAAGTCAGTTTGTCATAGTTTGCTTTTGTCACTTGCTTTAAAAAATGTTTCCTTTTTGTTTATAACACCAATGAAAATTTCCCGCAATCTCAAAAGTGATCATTCAGAAAATTATGGGGTGTTGCTTTTGTCCAGGTGAACATATCACTGTGACCAGAAAATAAAGTCATAATGCAAAAAGAGCCCTGTTACATGAATACACACAATGCAACCTGAATATCAGTTCTCATTCAGTTGGGGTAGCCTAGTGGTTAAAGCGTTCGTTCGTCACGCCGTAGGCCCGGGTTCGGTTTCCCACATGGGTACAATATGTGAAGCTTATTTATGGTTCCTTTTTCACAAGGCATTGGTGGCGCTAAGGTGGTCGTAACTCCCATACTTTAACATAGACTTGCGATAGTCGTAGCGCTTCGATCGCTTTGTGAAATGGGGCCCCCTGGTGTCCCACCGGACGTGATATTGCAGTAATATTGATAAAAGCTGCGTAAAACAATGGTTTAGCAGATCGAGCATGTGACCAGAGTGTGGAAGGTACGTTTAGTCTCTAGGATCCCCCTATGGTCTGGAGGACAGACTTGATGAATAGGGCGCAGGAGGGTATCTTACCAAAGGATGTTGAAAAAGTGTACTTATTGTTACCCTTTGGAATTAGGGATTAAACAAGTACAGGCCGGTCTACTGTGTTTGAGTGAGGTGTCCGTGTTAAACAGCTGCGTGTGAGTGAGTTACGTTTTACGCCGCACTCAGCAATATTCCAGCTATATGGCGGCGGTCTGTAAATAATCGAGTCTGGACCAGGCAATCCAGGGATCAACAGAATGAACATCGATCTAGGCAATTGGGATACATGTGTCATCCAAGTCAGCGAGCCTGACCACCCGATCCCGTTAGTCGCCCCTTACGACAAGCATGGTTTACTGAAGATCAATTCTAACCCGGACCTTCACGGGTAGCAGCGTGTGAGAGAGAGCCCATGCATATACATAAAGTGTCCCTATGTCCTTGTGTTTCCTTCAGGAAATCAAAACGAGAGTCCAAGTTTCTTAAAACAGAATGTGAGTCAGGCCTAAACAATCCTTTATATGCAGTGAAACCAAATTCTCAACACCGTACCTTCTTCATGAATGTTCGGTTCAACTGCGCACACTCATATACACACACAGGACCAATGCGATTGGTTGATTGATTGTTGTTAAGTAACGCCTCACTCAGCAATTTTCCAGCTATATGTGGCGGTGGTCTGTAAATAATCAAAGCTTGACCAGACAATCCAGTGATCAACAGCATGAGCATCGTACTTCGCAATTGAGATACGATGACAATGTGTCAACCAAGCCAGCGAGCCTGACCACCCGATCTCGTTAGTCACCTCTTATACTCAACCTACATTCAAGCTAGCAGATATTCCTGCAGAGACTGTCCGGTGCAGACAGGCGTACTTACACAACTAATTTACGTACTTACGTGTAACTTTGAGATATGTAACTTTTCACACACACACATATGTATGTATGTGTGTATGTATGTATCACGTACATATAAACATACGCGCGTGTGACGAACTGCTCCATTCATCAGAATCGATCCCGACAAGTATAAGCCTTGACACATAATTATATGGTGAGCTAGGAAAATACAGCCAGTCTCCATTAGATGTCCTAACGCCTACAGTAAAACCGGCGTTGTTTTTGAATTGCTGTACTTGTATCACTCACATGATATTTCTAAGAGAAACGTGAATATCAGAAATTAAATTGATGGCATTGAAGTTGTTTAAAGAAGTTAAGGTTCGTTTCAAGCTAGAGTTCATGCTTGCGATTTTTAACAAGCTGCTAGAAAATCTTCTTGGTACTGATGAATGAATTTCGTATCTCATATGTGAGGGAAAACAGAGTATGAAAAGATATGATATCCCCCGACCACATGGTAAGCTGTATTAATCAGATCGCGAAAGGAATATACCTTCACACAGTCAGGAACCAGGTTTGATTGTGTACTGTGTAACGTTCCTGCCTGAATATAAATTTGAATGAAATATCACCTTGAATTATATATGAATATTATTTCCGGTCATTTTACCGTGGAATCTAATTCCTTCAAATTTATATATTTTGCTGTACTCAAGAAAGAAAATATACGTCATCTGTATATATTTCCCAAAGCTTCAATACTAGAACATACGAACGCAAATATGTGTATGAAATGTTTTACTACAGTTGACTTATGCATGCTTTCACTTCTCGAGACTCAAATAATGACTGTTAGAATCATGAAAAGCTGTAATAAAACAAAATCTTACTCCTGGGAGTACAAGCCGTTTGTTTTAATACTTTGTTTTTTACTTTGATTTATTAAGTGTGGTAGCATATTATAAGAACAATATAATAGCTTAGGTATCACTAAATTCAAGAAACATTTTAGATCTATAATAAAATATTCATATCAAAGTGTTGGGCAGTAAGATTTCAGAACAACTAACTCATCACCGCATCCAACCTCGGAAAAGATTAACTGTTTCTCGAATGGCTCTGTATGTTGCAAAATATTATCAAGGATATTGACTCGTCACGATATAACTGAGCTTACATGTAATTTTCATTTCGTTTTCAGCTTGAGTTGCGTTTTCGAATCTACCGAGAAAACATGGCTGCCAAAATGTATTGCAAGCTGTGATTTTCAGTCATTGTTTGGGTAATTTTTGTGATATTTTGTTAACACTGCCAACTACGACAATCTATACCAAGTACTGTGTGCATTGTGGATATATTATGTCATGGTTTGCAACAGTTCGTTCCGTTTAAACTCCACAGTTTTGGCTTGTATTCTCGAGTGGTGTCAATGTGTGAGATATTTTTATTTGTGGGTAATGCCATCTGTGCACAGTGCTCATATTTTTCTAACCCTAACCCTAAGGATCGTAAAGGGTGCCATACTCATATTTTTCGTATACAGAGAATAACAAGAATGACGTAAGTCATTTTAGGGGACGGTGCAAGAGTAGTCAATATCTGCTCCACTTCACCAGGTACGCCTGTTCCAACTGCATTTAGCGCATTGCTGAAGGCTATCGAGTTCATACGCTTATTTAAGTTCACGTCTTCCGATGGAGCAACCACATTTTGTTCCTAATATTACATGGAATGCGTTGTTAATGTATCTGGGTTTTCAGTAAATGGAGACTTGCAATGATGCCAAAATTTTGAAGGAATAGGCCTAATGGGTTTCTTGTCTAACTTCTCTGGTGAGGGCACCTAGGTATGCTTGGTTAACATGTTAGGTATACCATTTTGTTTAATTGCGTCTGTGTACACTACAATTTGCTTCATTTTATTTCAGGTGATGCATGTCTTTGATGCAATATTGATACGCCTGATGCTGTACTGAACCATATGGAATTGGGGTCGGGGTGTTTAAGGTTTCAAGACAAAATGGATGAAGTAATTATATGAATGTGAAAACACAGTCATAATTTATATCTCATTTCTCTATACTCATTTGTGACTGTCCATAGTCTCAGCTCATTACAAAGGCTTCTGACTGAGTTTTTAAAAAATGTACTGATTAACAGATTCACTGTTACTCAGGAAAACTGATAATCATGACTGAAGAAGAAGGGAAAGGTCTCATTGCCACTGAGAAGACCTTTGAAGAACTTGCTAGGGAATACTTGGGAGACACTGTAGGGTCTGGTACAGATGATGCGGATCTGGATGAACTGGCAGACAAGTATTTGACAGACTTGGACACATCTCCTGACTCAGCATTGAAGACATACAGTTCAGACTGCAGCAAGGTTGTGTCGGAGAAACCAGCCTCATCCAGTGAAATGACAGAAGATGCTGCAGTGACACTAGTTCTTCCCACTGCTTTGGGTAAGGATGCGTACAGGAAAGAAAGTCGTAGATGGTTAATAAGAGCTCAGTAATCGATCAATAATTGATTGTATTCATAGACCCTACCTCAAAACTCAGACAGGCAATAACGGGACTAGGACTGCACAGTATTACCATTATACTGGTATTTCACAATAAGCCTTTCAAACATTATGTTTTGCAATGTTTTTCCTCAGAACCAGTATACTGGGTAATAAAAATGCACAAAGTTTTGTGATTATCTGTATGGTTTAAGTTAAAATTTACACATACTTCAATTCACACTGAAGTTTTCCATTGTAATTGACATAACAGCATACTTTACTTACAATAAATTTTAAGAAAAAGAAATATACAATTCCTAAAAATCAAATCTAAATTTGAAATTTCTGTTATCACAACCATAACATATATTTTTAGGTCTTTAGTATGTAGAAAATAGGTTCTGTATGTACAATCAGTGTCACTGTCAAACACTGAAGTTCTCAATATATCGCAATAAGCATCGGAATATGGGTACCATAATTGTAATATATTGCAATACGATTTATTTGCCAAAACACAGCCCTAAACAGGACACAAACATAACATTGTGCAAACGAAACATGCACAAATTAATACTGCAATCAACAAGATCAGGGATGCTTCCTGTTGAGACATGCACACGAATATGTTGTTTTCGTTGCAGTTGTTTATGTCTTAAGTTAACAAATGTAAACAATACAAAACATACTTTCCAACGTTTATTTTGATGTTTCACTTTTATGAACATTGATTCGTCTTCCAAGCATATCAATAATCACTGATGCAAGTGAGATCGATCAACTGACCGATTATTGGATCAATCACTCCAGCACTACCCCGTAGTAGTTAATTTTGAAAAAACAACAAATGTCTTTTCACTTGATAAAGGAAATTAAGAAAGGGAAAAATAATTTTGGTACCAATGTGCAAAGAGGAGGTTTGCGCTGTTTTGACAGCATTAAGATGATCTGATGACAAACTGTTTCAAACATGAATTATTTGAACACTGATATAATTTAGCTTCAGTACATGGCTTTTCAGATACCTTAACTTGGAATTATTTGCTGGAAATATATTCACAATAATGGCTTGCAAGATATGTTGTTTGCTATATGGAGTGGTATGTCTCGTCTGCACATAACCTTCCTGAATTTCAGTCAGTCACCATGGTCACTGGCTGTTTTAATGGTGCTTCCGTCATCTTAAGGCAGTGCAATTCACTGTGCTGAGTAGCGTACCTATACAGACTGATGGTTGCGAAATTCAGGTTCGCTTTGGTCATGCTGGTTACGTTTCTAGGTTTGTCAGTACCAGACCAGTGTTCATTGGTTAGTAGCAGACATCTAAGACCTGGAGCACTTCAGGTTTACTTCCTGAGTCAATTTAACATGACTGAAATATTGCTGTGTTTAGTGCAACAAACTCTCTGAAACATTACATGTCAAACCTTTCCCTGACTATGGCGACCCGTGAAGGTCCGGGTTAGAATATTGGCTTTCAGTAACCCATGCTTGTCGTAAGAGGCAGCTAACGGGATCGGGTGGTCAGGCTCGCTGACTTGGTTGACACATGTCATCGGTTGCCAGTTGCGCAGATCGATGCTCATGCAGCTCAGTTGATCACAGGATTTTCTGGTCCAGACTCGATTATTTACAGACCGCCGCCATATAACTGGAATATTGCTGAGTGCGGCGTAAAACGTAACTCACTCACCCTGACTATGGCTGTTAGCCCTCTCATTCACTTTTGTCATAGTTCATATACCCATACATTTACATGGTCATCATTCTGAGAAAGGGACACTGTTGGTCCATTGTCTAAGGTGCAGCAATTACCTATGCAGAGATTCGTCCCTTTGGCATGCCAAAACCAATGGCCATGGGTTCTAATCAGGATTCATCCCGACTGTCAGCACCATACCCATGCTCTATGGTGTCACCAAAGGGACGAAATGTCTGCATTAAGTTGACATGTATAACAGGAGTACTGTTGAAAGAGTATTGTAGCCAGCTCACTCACCTACTCTCACATTTTGAGAAAGGCCTTTGTGTTTTGTAGATTCTCCCAACAAGAGGAAGTCTCCAGGTTCTCCTTCATCACCTGATAGGAAACAGAGGAAAACTGGGATTCTTGAAATGAAGGATGGGACCAAAGAGAAACTCAGTGCCACAGTTTCACCAACAGTAACAAGTACAAATAACAGTAATGCAGCACCTGAAACTGAAGGAACACAAGAGGGAGACAAAGATGAAATGGCTAAACAAGTGGGAAAAAAGTCTTTGTCAGGTAGACCCAAAACAAAAGAGTACCATTCAGGTGGTCTGAGGCGCAGTAATGACACAAGACACCAACGGGACAAATATTCCAGGGATGCTGCTAGTAGATACACTATGTCAGGACAGAGAGAACAGGGTAGGAGAGGGCTTCTGGGACACTGTCCTCCCAGCCTTAATGTTATGGCCAGACCGGAGAACCAGAACAGGAATGGACCAAGAGGAGGTAGTCATGATCAGAATACATCAAGATGGAACGGTGATCGATTAGCTTTGGATGCTAGTTGCAACGAGGGGCCCTGGGGAGAAAAAAGAGAAATTGGTAGGACAGAATCAAATTTTGAGCATCCTTTCCAAGACAAGTTTGGAAATAGTGATGGAAGAAAACCTTTTCATAGAACAGCTCTTCATAGAAATGAATATGTGCCTTCTGACTTGTACAGGAGGGATGGTTTGTTAGATCGTCCACCTCAACCATCATTCAATAGGGATGAGAATAGTCGGAGAAATGGTCTGTTAGATCCTCCACCTCAACCATCATTCAATAGGGAGGAGAATAGTCGGAGAAATGGCCTGTTAGATCCTCCGTCTCAACCATCATTCAATAGAGATGAAAATAGTCGGAGAAATGGTCTGTTAGATCCTCCACCTCAACCATCGTTCAGTAGGGATGAGAATAGTCGGAGAAATGGTCTGTTAGATCTTCCACCTCAACCATCCTTTGGAAATGATGAGAATTTTCGGAGAGATGGTCTGTTGGACCCTCCTCAAAATCCATTCAGTAGGGATGAGAATTTCAGAAGAGATGGTCTGCTAGACCCTCCTCAACCACCTTTCAGTAGGGATGAGAATTATCGGAGAGATGGTCTGTTGGACCCTCCTCAACCATCATTCAATAGGGATCAGAATATCAGGAGAGATGGCACTTTTGATCCTCAAGCATTTTTCAGTAGGGATGAGATATGTAGGAGAAATGGCCCAGTTGACCAGCCTCAACCGCCATTCAAAAGAGATGAGAATTTTCGCAGAGATGGTCTGTTAGACACTCCTCAAGAGTCTTTGAATAGGAATGAAAATTTTAGGAGAGATGCTCTGTTAAACCCTCCTCAAGAGTCATTGAATAGGAATGAAAATTTTAGGAGAGATGCTCTGTTAAACCCTCCTCAAGAGTCATTGAATAGGAATGAAAATTTTAGGAGAGATACTTTGTTAAACCTTGGTCAACCACCATTCAATATGGATGAGAATTTTCGCAGAGATGGTCTGTTAGACCCTCCTCGGGAGTCATTCAATAGGGATGAGAATTTCAGGAAAGACCATCTGTTAGATCCTCCAAGACCATCATTCAGTAGGGATGAGAATTTTAGGAGAGATGGTTTGTTAGACCCTCCTCAAGAATCTTTGAATAGGAATGAAAATTTGAGGAGAGATGCTTTGTTAGACCCTCCTCAACCTCCATTCAATAGGGATGAGAATTTTCGCAGAGATTGTCTGTTAGACCCTCCTCGGGAGTCATTCAGTAGGGGTGAGAATTTCAGGAAAGACCATCTGTTAGACTCTCCTCAACCACCATTCAGTAGGGATGAGAATTTTAGGAGAGATGGTTTGTTAGACCCTCCTAAACCTCCATCCAATAGGGACGAGAAATTTCGCAGAGATGGTCTGTTAGACCCTCCTCAAGAGTCATTCAATAGGGATGACAATTTCAGGAGGGACCACCTGTTAGACCCTCCAAAACCACCTTTTAATAGGGAGGAGAATTTTCGCAGAGATGGTCTGCTAGACCCTCCTAAGGAATCTTTGAATAGGAATGAAAATTTTAGGAGAGATGCTCTGTTAGACCCTCCTCAACCAGCATTCAGTAGGGATGAGAATTTTAGGAGAGATGGTTTGTTAGACCCTCCTCAACCTCCATTCCATAGGGATGAGAATTTTCGCAGAGATGGTCTGTTAGACCCTCCTCAACCACCATTCAATAGGGATGAGAATTTTCGCAGAGATTGTGTGTTGGACCCTCCACAACCACCATTCAATAGGGACGAGAATTTTCACAGAGATGCTCTGTTAGACCCTCCTCGAGAGTCATTCAATAGGGATGAGAATTTCAGGAGAGACCATCTGTTAGACCCTCCAAAATCTTTTAAAAGGGATGAGAAGTTTCAGAGAGATGGTCTGTTGGACCTTCCTCAACCACCATGTCATAGGGATGAGAATTTGAGGAGAGATGGTCTGTTAGACCCCCCTCAAGAGTCATTGAATAGGAATGAGAATTTTAGGAGAGAAGGACTTTTAGATCCTCAACCATCTTTTCATAGGGATGAGAAATTCAGAAGAGATGCTCTGTTGGCTCCTCCTCGTGAGTTATTGAATAGGAATGAACAATTTAGGAGAGATGCTCTATTAGACCATCCTCAACCACTGTTTAATAGGGATGAGAATTTTCAGAGAGGTGGTCTGTTAGACCATCCTCAACAGCTGTATATAAGGGACAAGAATTTTCAGAGGGATGGTCTGGTAGATCCTCCTCAAGAGTCATTCAATAGAGATGAGAATATCCGGAGAGATGGCCTGTTAGATCCTCCTCAACCACCATTCAATAGGGATCAGAATATCAGGAGAGATGGCCTGTTAGATCCTCCTCAACCACCATTCAATAGGGATCAGAATATTAGGAGAGATGGTCTGTTAGACCCTCCTCAACCATCCTTCAGTGGGGATGAGAATTTTCAGAGAGATGGTCTGTTAGACCCTCCTCAACCACCATTCAATAGGGATCAGAATATCCGGAGAGATGGCCTGTTAGATCCTCCTCAACCACCATTCAATAGGGATCAGAATATCAGGAGAGATGGTCTGTTAGACCCTCCTCAACCACCATTCAATAGGGATCAGAATATTAGGAGAGATGGTCTGTTAGACCCGCCTCAACCACCCTTCAGTGGGGATGAGAAATTTTGCAGAGATGGCCTGTTAGACCCCCCTCAACCTCCATTAAATAGGGATGAGAATATCAGGAAAGATGGTCTGTTAGACCCTTCTCAACCACCGTTCAATAGGGATGACAATTTCAGGAGAGGTGGTCTGTTAGACCCTCCTCATCCATCATTGAGTCTGGATGAGAATATGCAGCCTCAGTTGGTAGCTAATACCTTATACCAAACATTTGCTTGGGATGAGAACATGCAGGCCATGTTGTTCAACAGAACAGATAATCAACTGGATACCCCACACCCACCCATAACATATGATGAGAATGACAGAAGAGATGCTCAACTAGATCCCCTACAGCCAACACTTAGGGATGAGAGCCAGAGAGATGGCCTGTTACCTCCCCCTCTCCCAGTATTCAGTGGGAATGAGCCCACACCAAACAGAAGAGGTCTGTTAGATCCCCCTATTGCCATGACTCTCAGTGGAGATATGTGTCATTTTGATAACAGACGTGATGATTATGGACACCTGGCATGCAGATCACAACCTAAACCTCATCTTCCAAGAGGTGAACAAGGCAATGGTGGACAGTCAGTGAATCAGGGGCCTCAACCTGTGCATGTTATAGAGCCCCCCACAGCATCTTGCAGTGTACAAGCAGAACAGAGGAAGGATGCAAGGAAACCTAGAGCGTTCAGACGAGGTGTGAGTGTACATGAATTTGTTACGAAGGTAGTATTGACTACATTCAGCACTACTAGAAGTGCTACATTGACAGCTGGAAAATATAGTGTTCCAGTGAGCTGTAAGTCAGCTGTTCCCCCAGAAATCAACTTTGAACTGTTAAAAAACTTCCAAGGAGTATTCAAAAGGCAAACACTGTGTTAATAGACTGTCAGCAATGGCTTGCCAGAGGTATGACACCATTAATTACACAAGTAAATATGTTCGGCAAAGCACCTCAGACTCCAGCTGAGGTTTGTCGGAGAACGACTGATTCATTGAGGATTTTAGCCTGTACCTGTGTCAATATCTCCAAAGGGAGACGACTGCTGATGAGATGTCACCTTCCAGAAAAATATGGAATCTTGTGCAGAATGTCCAATTCTATCACTAGCTCTTTGTTTGGTGATAAAGTTGATGAAGATATTCATTCAATACAGATGGGAACCTCTAAGATCAAAATGCTAACTGGACCCAATGAAGAGACACACATTCCAAAAGTTAAGACTGATCTTCTTCGTGATGAAAACATTGATGAAAATGTAGCCAGTATGGTCAACTTGGCATGCACAAAAGAGGGAATTGTGAAAGATTTGCGAGAAAAATATAAGATACCTTCTAACCTGAACTGCATGATACCCCCAAAGCTAAACCCGGAGATATCTAGTATGCTTCCTGTGGCTTGTGTGGACTTGGACACCAAGCTCCAAGATGTCCAGTTGTCCACATCTGAAGCTATGGTGCCTGGTGTCTACTTGCTGGAGAGAATACATGAGAAGATGTATAATGACAGTGAGGCTTTGAAGATGCTGACTGATGCCTTAGCTCTCTTGGGAGATGCTATGTTTCAGTATAATAACCTACGGATGGAACTCTTTAAGGAGAACCTGCCATTGCAGCTTCAGCAAGAGTGTGTTTGGAGTAGTACAGAGGATGAGAGTATGGTTCCAGATTGTGAAAAATGAGCTAGTCAATGTTTGGGTCAAAAAGAAGAGGGTGAGTTCATGAGAGATGTCACAGGAAAGATTATTTTATGCAGACAGATGAGATTAGGAAAAAGATGTAGGAAAGGTGAAAGCTACAGATGAGGTTAGATGAAGGGGGACAGATGAGGTTGGGATGAAGGTGTGCATGAGGTTAGATGAAGGGGGACAGGTGAGGTTAGGGTGAAGGTGTGCATGAGGTTAGATGAAGGGGGACAGGTGAGGTTAGGGTGAAGGTGTGCATGAGGTTAGATGAAGGGGGGACAGGTGAGGTTAGGGTGAAGGTGTGCATGAGGTTAGATGAAGGGGGACAGGTGAGGTTAGGGTGAAGGTGTGCATGAGGTTAGATGAAGGGGGGACAGGTGAGGTTAGGGTGATGGTGTGCACGAGGTTAGATGAAGGGGGGACAGGTGAGGTTAGGGTGATGGTGTGCATGAGGTTTGATGAAGGGAAATGAGCAGAAAATGTGGTTGTAGGAAACGTGTGGGAACAGGAAAGTGATATGGGTACAGGTGATGTTAGCAGAAGGGGAAAGTTGAGGTTAGAGGTAAGGTGTACTTGAGGTTAGAGTTTTCAGGTAGGTGAGGTTAGATGAAGGATGTCAGTGAGGTTATCAAATTTAAACTTTAAAAAAAATGAATGCTTGTGATACATGGAAAGGATTAACTGTAAAAAGAAAGTATTTGTTTCTATTGTAATTTTTAGTCATTGCAGCTTTTTGTTTAGAGTTGTGTCCCTTAGGTTGCAGGATGCACTGATTGCGATTTGATAATAGGAACCACACCCAAATTTCAGTTCTTTGCCAGTTTATTGTCATCATTTAGTTACCGGTATCCTGTTGCGTCTTTGTGTGAAACATACATCCAGTCGACATTCAGCCCCCTATTCCACAAAGGTGTTCATAGAGCTATGATAGTCATGAGTTGATTAAGGGAGTTACAACAGTCATAGTTTTATGATCTTGTGAATCATTGCTGTTTCCTGGTGTGATTCTTTATCATGCCATCTATGTGTGAAATGTGGATCAGATGCACAGTGCTTGGCCTTGCTGATAATGTGTTGTATCCACATGTATGAATGTCTTAAACATTTATTTCTCTGTATGTACATTATATGAAACTTGTTTCTCTCCTTTGATATTGACATGATTTTGTTAATATATGATGTTAACATCAGGGATGGCAACAGGAAATCTATTTTCAGCTGAAAACTTAATATTGTGTCATCGAATGGGTCATTTGAATTGATCAATTTGAAATAAAATAGTCGGAAATCCGCAGATCAGCGGAAAATTGCCATCCCTGTAATATTGGCTACATTTTAATATTTAGACTATTCATGTTCTTGAGGGAGAATTGAAATTTGTCGATAGATAAACATGGTTTGTATATATTGTCTGTGTTAAAGTAGTCATGATTAACATTGGAATGTACAAGAATACAGGAATGAAACACTTAATGATTTTTCCTGGTGCAGAAATGAGTTTAATGTGCTCCAAATTTTGTATGGCAATGTATGTTGTCTTTTACATCATTTATGGAAAGCTTTATCAAGTAATGCTTTTACGGCAAAGTTAACAGTTCAGCAGAGACAAGAATATTCTTTTTAGAGTTAATTTCATGCAATGATTCTCATATAGATTTTGAAAGAAATATGGGAATCTCTAACATCAAGTCTTTGTTTAGGATTTCTTCCATCTGCAAAAGTGCTGATGAAATTTTAGGCACATCCCCACAGCTCTCTAGCGATACTTTGTGAAACTGAAATGCTGTCGAAAGGGGCCTTAATCTATTACTCAGGAAGACCACTCAACACACTTGTATTCCATTTCCTTGTTTTCTTTTCATATTAAACATTAATTGTGAATGGATTTCCTGTATTTCTTTTGGGTCAATATATTTTATATTTATATACTGACATTCAGTTTGAAAATAAATTATACTGCTGAAAAATTGAAGGTTTACAAACATTTGGTGTCATGAGATATGAGTATCTGTTAATGATTAGAGGAAGAATGTTTTCTTATGTTTTTGACTGTAATAAACAAACAAGTCTTACATCATACTAATTAATATAATACATGTGGCTGATTTTGTTACTGTGTATTTTGTCAGGTATGGAGTCATGGAAGACAAGTAAATATTTACCCAAAAATATGAGTACCTTTTTCTTTACTGGAACAGAAATTCAGGAACATTAGTGCTGAAACCCTCTTGGTCTCTCTGGAGAGTGAGTCATAAAAGTGCACTCATCATGTGGTATAATCAGCCGTTCACTGCCATTATCGTAGTTTGAAATCTATAACTGACCATTGAAACTAGGGTACAGCAGGAACATGGATAACTTTTCTGCACCATATATTTCTTCTGTCCAGATTCTGGATGAGAATTTAACATTGTTACATCACTGGAGACAAATTGAAGCTTACTGACTATATGTCTCAGGAAACATGATCATCTATACTGGCCACATAAAGAAACTGTGCACACAGAAAATATAAAGATAGGCAGACAGCGTCTTTATGCATAAATAAAGGTGAGAACATAGCAAGTATTGGAGACAATCAAACGCTCATGCAGGTGCCAGGCGACGTGACGTCATTGATGGTGGCCAATGGACTTGCAATGTGTTACTGCGTGCAGCCTGTGCAGCTGCACACAACATGTGAAACTCAGAAATTGTTGTCACTGTCTGTAAAGCTTGGTCTTTGGTCATTCAAACGTTCACAAATTCACATGAAGTCACATGCACATCATGCCAAGATTAACATGTGCTCAACGTCATGAAGCCATTGGAATGGTTCGAGCAGGCATGAGCCAACAACAGGTGGCAGCACATTTCCAATGCCATCGTAACACGACATCTGCATTGGTCAGGCATTAGGGGAAACAGTAATGAAGTCGCCGACCACCCACATTCTGGGCGTTCCCCGTGTAACGACGCCAAGACAGGACAGATGGATTCGGGTGACTCATATCAGACACAGGTTCCAGGCGGCAGTGACCACGTCCTAAACCATTCCCCAGGCCTTCATTTGGAAAATTTGGTAGCCTCTATGCGTCGTCGATGCACTGCTGTGCTTCATGCACATGGTGGTCAAACCCGTTATTGACTTTGTGACTTCGACGTGTGACCCCCGACTCAATTTTGAACTTCTGACGTCATCGTTACGGATATTGTTCATGTTCTTTTGACATGTTGTTGAGGCCCGATACTTCAGCTTATAAAGTGTCTACATCATGTCGTCTTTTCTGTGTTGTATTCCAATTTTGAAGGAATTTTCTGTGTGCACAGTTTCTTTATGTGACTAGTATACATTGATCAATGGTTAGGGTTGTCTGTACACAGCTGCAGTCAAACACATGGAACATGGTTGGATGGTCTGTTCACAGCTGCAGTCATACAGATGGAACATGGTCGGGTGGTCTGTTCACAGCTGCAGTCATACAGATGGAACATGGTCGTGTGGTCTGTTCACAGCTGCAGTCATACAGATGGAACATGGTTGGATGGTCTGCAGCTGCAGTCATACAGATGGAACATGGTCGTGGTCTGTTCACAGCTGCAGTCATACATATGGAACATGCATGGTCTGTTCACAGCTGCAGTCATACAGATGGAACATGGTCGGGGTGGTCTGTTCACAGCTGCAGTCATACAGATGGAACATGGTTGGGTGGTCTGTTCACAGCTGCAGTCATACAGATGGAACATGGTTGGGTGGTCTGTTCACAGCTGCAGTCATACAGATGGAACATGGTCGGGTGGTCTGTTCACAGCTGCAGTCATACAGATGGAACATGGTCGGGTGGTCTGTTCACAGATGCAGTCATACAGATGGAACATGGTTGGGTGGTCTGTTCACAGCTGCAGTCATACAGATGGAACATGGTCGGGTGGTCTGTTCACAGCTGCAGTCATACAGATGGAACATGCTTGGGTGGTCTGTTCACAGCTGCAGTCATACATATGGAACATGGTCGGGTGGTCTGTTCACAGCTGCAGTCATACAGATGGAACATGGTCGGGTGGTCTGTTCACAGCTGCAGTCATACAGATGGAACATGGTTATATAGCAGTGATGCATTTAGTCATGCTGGCTTGAAAAAACATGAACTGCCGCAGTATAGATGACATACGCTTTTATGTGCGGGATATGGTGAGCATTACACTGGCGGAAACTGTGGTATGCAAGTAAAGGACCAAGTCACTCTTCACTAATAACAAATTTGAGATCCAGCTTTACGAAATATAATTGTAACAGACATGAGAACGGCAAAGCACAAAAACACTGAAAATTTAACCAGGGATCTTAGGGGTCTTTTACTGCAGATTTACATCAATCTCAAAAACGTTCAAAATGAAACCAAAATCCCGGAAATCTGCGGATCTGCAGTAAATTCTCATGACTGTTGTAAGCAAAACACATTAATGAATGGGGCCAGTTTAGTATCTTTCATTTAATATATTACTAAACAATGATAAACGTTTATGAATAGAGAAATAACATGGTCATTACGCTTTTGAAAAAAGTAATTTTCAAACCTTACCTATGTAGCTCAGTGTGTATTTGTGCACTGAAACCATAACATTGTAAGTCAAACACTGTCAAAGACAATATGACATCACAAACATGTTGGTTACATTGACGATGTTTTACATCTCCCTCTATTGTCACTAGTGGTGGTCCGATTAATTGAAATAATCGAAGATTGGTCGCAGTGCCTAAACGACCAAGCAGTCGATTGTGTTTTCTCATAATCGAACACAACCAATTTTGGAACAATTGTTTGCATCAACAATATTTTACGCAAGTTGGTTTTGTCTGTGTCATTAAATTTACATTTCATAAGCACTACAAACTCGTTCCAAGTCATGGTTGAATTTATCTTAATGAATCCAGGAAATCTGTGTTCCTAACATACTAATCATCCTTTAGATATGCGAAATTTGCCAATGGATTTTGTGCAATTTGCAAAAGACCCAAATTACTACATGCTTTTTCTCTATTTTTGTGTGTGCATTAACAAAGATAAAAGGAACATTTGATAAATGACGCAAACCAATTATTTCGATGATTGATCAGTTGTAATGAACCAATCATCAATTATGAGATTTTAACCAATTCCCAACACTAATTGTCACTGTTGTGCCATACACACAAAGACTATGCAAATACTTCCATGGAGTGTCACCCTATGACTGCTTAGTTTTCATTAACCTGAGTTGGTGAAAGATCTAGTGAAATGTACATAGAGTTTTCAATCTTGCCAGGATAAGTCTGAAGCATTTGGAGGATACGGTGCACCATGATATGACTCATACTTGTTCATGGTTTTGTAAAAAATATGTAAAATACTTGTTTTTGAAGTCACAAAGTTTGTTAATGTGAATCATTGATTGTCAATGGTGGGCGAGCTGGCTAAGGCGCCAGGCTAGTGATCCAGCGAGCATGAGGTGCCGGGATCGAGCCCCCTGTGACCGGGTGTAAAAACCTTGGGGTTAACTTTGTGTGCAGACTCTTTCAGTGTTGTCACAATCCCCAGTGTACAGTACACAACCCTGTGCACTTAAAAGAACCCATGATTCCGTTGGTATATGACCAGATGGTGGCCACATGAATATGTGCAAACACGTACCTAGTTGTGGGTACAGCAACGTGCAGTAAACTTGGACAAAGTACTGTGACTATGTGTCCCAGTACTGGGAAAGACGCTATAACTCTGTGCGCCTTGTGGCAGCAAGAGTTGTATGATCTCCAGGGAGTTGAGATTGATAATAAGATGTGCCGTTGAGATTGACATCCAATGATCGAGGGAAAAAAAATTACCAGCACCTTGAATATGCACTAGTGCGTGGATATATGCGCTAGATAAAATCAAATAATAATAAATAATTTATAGCAACACAATGAAATTGGATTTTCTTATACACCAATCCTATGAAAAACGATTTGGTAAACTTCATAATCAAAAGTCATCAAGTCTTAAATCAAAGGCATTCTAGCTACAGTAAATCATTTCATTATAAAAACTTAATCATAATATAAATCATAACCAAGAAGGTTTCTGTGTATGGAAAATGAGCAGTCGAGACATGAATGAGTTGTCGTTCTTGGTTTATACAAAATCAAGAACACTTATTTCGAAATAAGTATTTGTTGTTTCGATATTTACTCTTTGTCTGAGTTAAAAACAGGGGGGAAATGAATGATCGTAAAGATATAAAGTGGTGTTTATAATTCTGGGGATATTATTGTCTCTTGTTTTGTTTTCCTTATCACGCTTTAAGTAAGATCACAATTCATTAAAACCTGAGTCCTAAGTTTATAGCATGAAAATGGCGATGAAATTGTCGAAGCTCTGAAAACACGAATTATTTTGTGTTCACCAGGAAGGTGCATGTTTATTGCGTATATCACATATTATTCAATTTGTGCAGTACATGTTTGAACCACAAATGTCAAATTGCACAGTGCGTGTTGTTGCTGTTGAAACAATGAAACATCAGTGCTTGAAATATTGATAAGTTGAGGACGCGAACAAACTAATTTCTATGACAGATTTAACGTGGTTTACGACTTGTTCAGTAGTGAGGATTACCTCTGTGCGCAGCTGCTTGACTTTCGAGTTATTGATTGTGTATACTATCAGCTTCAATACCCCGATTAAATCTGACGCTATATTACTGAATTGGATCGCAATTACGCGTAAAGTACCTAGGCTAAGGCACATATACTACGGGGTGTCATTGATTTTGTACATCATACAAGCCATGCAGGGGTGGGGGGTCACTTTGTACACCAATTTTAGGAGGGGTCATTCAGATTGTACATGGGTTTTTTTCATAAAAAATCGTCATATCTCTTTCCCCCCCCCTTCCTACATTATTTACTGACCCAAAAATTACTACACGCAGCATATCCTTCCGGAGCATCCTTACCCGAGACGTCTTGTTTATGACTTGGTGAATTTGTACTGAGAAGCAAATGTCACAAGTTCATTAACCAATGAATTCTCACAGTTGGAGACATGTCCCCAAAGAAAGAGATTTTCTCTCACAAGAATTTTTGGTGCTGTATTGTAAAGGTGCTGTTTTGTGTAGTGGTATTGTAGGAACATAATCTTTTTGTTTGGAAATAAACCATTGTTAACAATACTTTATTTACAACGTGTGATTAATGACTTGGTCAACCAAACCCTTTTCTCACATTGTCCATCCCACAAATTGCATATTTTTTCATCAGTTTAAGTTTTAAGGCTCTATTTAGATAAACACATTTCTTGAAAGTTTTAGTTTTCTTTGAGAAAATATTCAAAAAGATGAAAAACTGATCCATTTGTATATTTATCCTTTGTTTACAGTGTTTGTACCATTCCATGTACAGACTCCAAAGTCTTCTGTATGGCTGGTGATACAGTCACTTTGATGTTTAAAGATATATTGCCATACTGTTTCACCGTTGTGATATATTTTTGTCAATAATGCAATTCAGTCAGTAAATCACACTGAAAGAAATCCATTACATGAGGTTTCTCTGATTTATGATGAAACATGATTGTTTGCAAACAAGAGACATTTTGAGCCAAGTTACCTTGTGTTAATGTTGAACAGTCACTGCTCTGGACAGGGATTTACCTTGAGTCCTGTTTTTGAGGGTCCCTGGGACTCATACTCTTAATTTTCAGGGGTCCTGGACAACAAAATAGGGGTCCAGACACTTAAATATTATTATTAATAGTGTTATTGTCTTGTGCATCATAATCATCACATTATTTGTTACAGTAATTGAATTGCAAATGATACCATAACTCAGCTAGTAGCAAACTCCTTGATAACTGTGGATGCGCTTATATATTGTTACTTCCTTGGATCCCTGTGGATGCGCTAATAAATTTTGATGCATCCATTGGCAGTTTTTATGCATACAGGAATTCGCGTCCTGTAAATCCCTGTCTGGAGTGTGCTTGGCCTGTGACTGTGAGGATGTGAGCAGCATGGCCTCTCCAGTTCATGCAACACTCTATGCTTGTCATACGATCAAAGTATGATGGTGATTGGATGGCTACAATGAAGACCTGTCTGAAAGCAGTACCCAGATAGCATTGATCTTTGCTCATGCTGAAAATATCGTAAAATGGGCGATCGTGGAGGCAAGGAGGCCTATTTATCACCACAATACATTGTGCAGAGTTGCAACCTTTAGGCATGCAACGATTCTATGATCATGAGTATTGATATCTCTGATGTGTCCTGAATATATTCTTTGATTTGCCATTACCCATATTTGTGGGTTTGTGTTGTGTAAATATCACTTTTGACACATTCGTCACTCAACATTTTTGTCTCACAAACCGAAATGAAATGATCTGAAACAAGGCTTTTTATTTTTATGTTTTACCAGTCCATTAGTGTTTATTATTTCAGTCTTGTGAAAAACATATGAATATCAAATGTGTCATTCATACACATGTAACATCAGGTTAACAGTCAAGTGACCAGCCTCCTGACCAAACACCCTGAATGAACAGTCACTGATGCAATGACGTCTATCTTGTCATGTGCATTCTAGTGTTGGGAATTGGTTGAAATCTCACAATTGATGATTGGTTCGATACCAACGACCAATCATCGAAAAAAATTGGTTAGCGTCATTTTTTAGATTTTCCTATTCAGGTTGTAGTTGCAGATAAGTATAAAGAAAAAATGTTTGGTTCTCTGTTCTTCTGTCATCAGCTCTGCAATCCACTGAACATGATGATAACTGAATCATCAATGAGATGTATTTGGGTAGCCTTTGCTTTTGTGTTGTTTTTGTTTTTCAATATTGCTATAGCAGATATTCATTTATTTTGGTGACATCCATGTCAACATTGTGAAATGAAATCTCTTACTTTTTAAGTACCGGTACACACTTTCATCGGTTGGTTCACCTGTTGCTGTCAACACGGTCAAGCCTTTCAGATTACAGGTGAAATCAAGTCTTCAGGTTCTCTTGCCTCTCTGAAGCTTCAGTATCTGTTTCTTACAGCCTCCCTGGGTACTTGCTTTGTAGTTCCATTCAGTATCCTTAAACACAGCAGGAACATCAAATACCCCCATCACCAAGGTGATAGAAGGATTTTGACCGTAATCTTTCATTTTCTTTGAGTTTAGTTTACAAGACAATGGATCTAATAATCACCATTCCTGTTGATCATAAATCAGAAATGTGTATTGGACCAGGAACATCTCCCATCAATGTATGGTATATTACACTTCCAACGGTCTTCAGACCTTAGCAAGTGATTTCTTACAAAGGTCATTTCACTTAAGTTTTAATGGATGGCAAGAGATTATTCATCTGTATGGTTGTCAACAATTTTCACAAGGAACTGTCAGTTCATTCCAAGATGTACCTTTTTAGTGACTGCATGCTTTTATCTGTGGCAACAGAAGGGGAACAAAGTGAGGTGTGTCTGTGACCTCATGTCTTCATGTCTTTTGTGCCAGTGATCAAGACATCTGCTGCCATCGTCACATGTTATCCTTGCCCTCAACTACTGAAGAAACTATTTCTTCAATGGTTCTAATGGAGGTCTCATTTCTATTTTTCTGTAACATACCAACAAGAACACGATTCGTTTTTGAGAATTACGTTAATTGACATTTTTGTTTGCTGCAAGATCAATATCATCCTTATCCTCCCTATCTTGGATCCAGGAACATGTCCTTATACATGTCAGAACCGATCATTTCATAGGTTGTTCAGATGCTATAGTAGTACTCTCTGGTCTCTGTACATCTGGCAGGATTTTGACATTTCAGCTGATCAGTGTGAGGCTTAGACAGATGCCTGTGGAAGGAAGATTCCCAAACCAATTGAGTATTTCTAACAGTAACCATAGCCCAAGATCAATTATTTCCATCAGTAACCAGGGCCCTTGACCAAGAATTTCCATCAGTAACCAGGGCACTTGACCAAGAATTTCCATCAGTAACCAGGGCCCTTGACCATGTATTTCTAATAGTTTTTGTTTAACGCCATACTCAGCAATATTCCAGCTATATGACATGGTCTGTGAATAATTGAATCTGTACCAGGGATCAACAGCAGGAGCATCGTTCTACACGACTGGGATACAAGTATGTGAGCCTGACCGTCCGATCCAGTTAGTTGTTCCTTAGGACAAGCATTGGATGCTGAAGACCAATTCTAACCTGGATCTTCATAAGGCTCTGGACCAGGTCTTTCCGTCGGTAACAAAGTCCCCAAACCAATGATTTTCAACAGTCAAATACCTTCTTATTGGCTTTTATTGCCACCGGGCAGACTTTCAAGTCTCATTGGAAAATGGCATCAGGCATTAAATGGCTTTTTCTATTGACCAACGGTGGTTGGTATCTGTCTCAAACTCTCATGGCCAGATCCAATCATAATGTGTTCAGGAAAGTTTAACATGCTGACAGTAACTACAGCAATGACAAAATCCTATCAACCTGGAATGCAGCATGGTTAACATATTTTGCTTGTGATGCTGAGAAGCTTTGTTCTTCATCTTGGCTATAGGAATAATGTCAGTTCCTGGTGTCTGTGCTCTCACATTGCTGAAAACTGAAAGCAGTGAGAAATGAACCTCAATATGGTGGTCCTGAGGTTTTCATGGTGAACACTATCACTATTTACTTCAAGTGAGTGTGCACTGGGATTAAGACATCAAAACTCATCATGGCATGTATAATGCACACCTCGTTGTACACAGCTGTGTCTTTATATAAAAAGTTTGGACTATACACAGGAAAATACGGCACACACAATGTTTACCTGGCTCACTTGAGTGGTATTTCTGCATTATTGCCTAGTTTTCACAAAAGTTTTTTTGCTTAATCATCCTTCCATCAATTCCAATCACTGACAGCACTGTGGTGCTGAAGTATATATTGTTCAATTAGCATCCCTGTTGGTTCATCTGAACTTTGTTTGAATCATTCATGCATATTTGGAGTGATTAGTCATTTGTTCTGTGTTCTCGTAGCCCTTGAAACACATAGAATAGGATGATACTTCGACAATTCTTTTAATTGCCATACTTTTGGGGTTTTCTTTTTCTGTGAACCAATTTTATCCTAACAAGTTTTTTTGTACACAGACCTTTTTCAAATGTGTTGGCTTATTGTTAGTATAGTCTTTTTCTTTTTTTATTTATTAGGAGTTTCTTTTTTATGAAGTAATTTTTATCCTGCAGGAGTTTTGTACAAGGACATTTTTTTTTGGTTAAGTGTTGTAATGTAACCCTTGCACACCTCATTTTTCAGGTTGAGTCTACTGAACCAGCAATATGTTGAAGCCAGGAAGTGTGAATGCAGTGTGCAAGCACTGGCTTGGCGGCAACTGCCTGCAAGGGGATCGGTGTGTATTTATCCATGGTAAGGATGGCACTCTCTTTGTTTTCTCTCTCTTCACAGGTGGTGCCATGACAGTCTCTCTCTCCTACATGCATGCCTTTGGTACCTCAAAGGTTTGCTGGAATTAAGTTCCTATGTCTGCACTTACCTGTCTTTCACCAAGGTGTTATGTGTCTTATTTCTTGTTTGGATTTCCTCCCAGACTAAGCTATAAAGCCATGATATAACTGAAATATTGTTTAGAAGCTGCGTTTAGTTCAGACTTTCTCCTTTAACAGGTATTCTTCTCAGGAATCAGTGAATATTTTCAAAAAGGATATATCCTGAGCAGAAAGGACTGTTGGCTGTTATGTAGTTATGTATTTTTTTAATTTTCATCATAAGTTCTGGTGAGATATTTTTTCTTTTCACCATCATTTTTTTCCATGAATCAACATTTCAGGACCAAAATCTGACAGACAGGTGAGCCCTACACCATCAAGAAGAAATCCATCTCTACAGACTGGTTCAAACACTGGTTCTCTTATGGGTAACTCACCTTTACCTTTCTTTGCAGATATGTGTGCATGCATGTGTGGTTCCTTTTTGCGTGGTTTACTTTGTAGACATTTTTGCCTCAGAGAGAATTTCAGGTTTTAGCTTGACTGAGGTTATTATTAGTGGCAGCACTTCAATATCTGCACATGCATGATAGTATTTTAGCATTCAAAAGTTAATTTGTAGATATATTCCTGAGCAATGTCTTTTAGACGTAACTTCAGTAGTAGAACCATTGATTGAATAAACTGGAGTGAAGTTCAAGGCTGCAGAACTCAGAATGTTCAAGCATGTTATATGAGTAGTAGAGTATCCTAGAGGTTAATGTGCTTGCTGTTTATGTTTAAGGCAGGGGTTTGATTCACAAGCAGGTACCAGCTAATTCTTGTTTCCCTTCAATTATGTGGCTGAAATATTGCTACAACTTACGCAACATAACCTACCTTTGTTTCTATTTTGCGAGTAGTGTGTTTTAGAACATGAATGATAAAATAATGATGTTAAACAGTTTCACAATCTGAACATATTGTGCCTCATTATCAGCATTATGCATGTTCATTTTTATTCTAGGCAATATTGGTGTGATATTGGTCTTTCAGGCACTCCAGCAGTTATGCGTTATGGACAAGGATCTGTAGCTATGCCCTATCAAATGTTACCTATGGGAAACATGGGAGGCCAAGGTCTTGTACAGCAAGTGCCCACCAGTTTGGCTGACCAAAGACTTTTGAGACTGCAGCTTTCTGCACAACAGATGACAGGGCTACAACAGATGCCAAATGTCCAACAACAGATGCCAAATGTCCAACAACAGATTCCGAATGTCCAACATCAGATGCCAAGACTCCAGCAACATATACCAGGTACTCATCAGATGACAGGTCTTCAGCAACAGATGACAGGTCTTCAGCAGCAGATGCAAGGTCTTCAGCAGCAGATGCCAGGTCTTCAGCAGCAGATGCCAGGTCTTCAGCAGCAGATGCCAGGTCTCCAGCAGCAGATGCCAGGTCTTCAGCAGCAGATGCCAGGTCTTCAGCAGCAGATGCCAGGTCTCCAGCAGCAGATGCCAGGTCTCCAGCAGCAGATGCCAGGTCTCCAGCAGCAGATGCCAGGTCTTCAGCAGCAGATGATGATTAACCCTGTTGGATTGAACATCTATGATGATCAGATGATGTCTGTGACTGGACGTCAAGGACGAGACCCTGATAATAGCATGAGAATTAGGGGCATTAGGCCTAAGAAAAAGTCTAGGTTTCACGACAGCTCAGAAATATTACTTCCTACAGGTGATGCTGTGCCAACAAAACCTGTTTCATTGATGGATGTGAATATTCCCATGACGTCATCTATGGTTGAAGCTCAAGACAACCTTGTATTTCAGACATCTCTCAGTCAGATGGGAAGAAGAGAAATTTCTTCACTACAAATGATGCCCAAATCATTGCTTCATGATCGGAGAGATGGTATAATGGATGATGGCCCACGGAGGAAGAAGTCACGATTCCAGAATCCTTCAGAGTTTTCAAATACGGGCAGATCTAACCTGGAATATGGTAATGATGAAGGAGGAACAGGAGATGATGATTATGTGGAAGACTTTGTTGATGAGATAATGTCAGGGATTGGTCCGAGAATAATTCAAACTGAAGATTCAAGGAAGAATAAAGGGATTTCATTCAAGACTTTGTTTAATCCAATGCGGCAGAGTTTGGAGAAAAACCCCAAGTCAGGTAAACTGGGAGGTAGGACAATGACAGGACAATCTGATGACATGCGTACCAGAGAAGACTCATGGGCATACCAGAGAAACCAAACTGACGATTACCGGAAGGGAGAGCGTTTAAGGAGGGATGTAGACAGTTTCTCATCACGGGATCTCAGGAAGGATAATTTTATTCAGGGACAAAGGCAAGATCCAGAAGTCAGTCGGAGGGAGAACTATTCTGGATATGGCACACGTGAACTTGGGTACGGACGTGACAATCAACAAAATGACAGATTTGATGACCAAGAATACAGAGGAACTGCAGATGATGAAAGTTTCTCAGGAAGAGATTATCAGTCAAGATACAATGTTGAAAATGCCAGGGGCACATATGGCCCAGAATACACTGCTCAACATACTACTGCATTCAAAAACAATAGGAGTGCTGTGAAAGAGTCTTGGCCAAGGCCACAGGGTATTGGGAATCCAAAGCCAAGTCCTGATTTAGAACTTGGGGTCAAACCACCAAGAGAAGTCAGGTTAGGTAGACCAATGCCAGAATTTATTGAAAAATTTATGAAAACTGCAGGTAGGTATGCAGTAGGCGTGCAGCGAGTGACTACAACTTATAACTTACCTAGCAACTGTGTGGGTCTACTGCCACCCAAATTGAACGCAGAAACTTGGGATATCCTGACAAAGAAAGCTCAAAATAAAGATGAGATCTTGCAAGACCTTCAGAGATGGTTTGCTGGAGGAATCATTCCTCTGGTTAAACTTGCTGATCTTTTTGGCAACAACTTGCAGATTGTGGAGGATGTGTGTCGTTATGTAAGCGATTCTTTGAATGTGTTCACATTTTTATGTTTTCTCCTTTCGATGAAAAGAAGGATCCTGATGAGAAGCTCACTTCATAAGAGGTATGGGATCTTGTGCAGAAGACATCAACCCATTTCAGGCTACCTGTTTGGTGACAGGCTTTCACAGGACCTGGAGCGTATCAAAGCAGGAACTTTTCACATCCCTACATCAGAGAAGGATATCAAGGACACAAATAACATTGATCCAGAAGGTGCTGATTTTAAACCAGCCTTCTTTGCATCGCTTGCTCTCCCTGGTGATGACGTTGACATAAATGTTTCCAACATGATCAACGTGGCATGTTCCAGCGATGGTAACCTTGCAGATTTGAGGGAGAAATACCAAATTCCTTCAAACTGCAATGTATTGATCCCACCAAAAGTGAATCCTGAGATTTGGAATCTTGTTTCCCAATCTGGTTTGGATCTTGACTATAGAATTCAAGATGTGCACATGTCTATTGCAGAGTCGATGGTTCCTCTGCTGATAATGTTACAATCAGTCCAGAATACGACATATGATGAGAGTAATACTCTGACTCTCCTCACACACTCTCTGTCCCTTCTAGGAAACTCCATGTATCAGATCAACAGGATCCGAATGGAGGCTATCAAGAAAAGCCTGCCGTCGCAGGTCCACAGTTACTGCAGTTTCCACTGGACTGGTGCTGAGATGGTCATGGTGGATGACAGTTAATGTGGACTGTTCTTGTCATCAAACTATTCATTTGCCGTTGCTTTTGAATATCAGTGGATCAGTCATTGACAGGGAGTTGTGTTGTCATAAGGTGTAAGTTCTCTTGTCACCTTCAGTGACATGACTGCAAAATCCAGCATTTTAGGTGACACTGTCTACTTGGAACTTTCTGTCTGGCAATCATCAACATAATTTTTGTTGTTATCCATCAGGAAGATGATGATCCTGTTTATATCTCTCTGTAGGTCCCCAAAAACCTATGCTGGTTGCCTCAGAAGCAATTACATGCATCGGGTAGTCATACTCAGTGACTTGGTTGATAGCTTGTCTTCATACCCCTGATGACTTGGATAATTGTTCACAGTCACTAGATTGTCTGATCCAGACTCTATTATTTACAGGGCATCATAAACAGATGGAATATTGGTAGGGATGGTAAAGCAATGCATAAGCGACTTCTTGTGTGATGATATGAAAAATTGGGTAACTTGGTTGATTACAGATTTGTAATATGATAATATATGAACATGGTGAAGGGTTATGCTCAAAGCTGTAAGAACATACGTTATATTCTTCTGGTATCTGAAAATGAATGTTTGTGATATTTTGAAGAAGTGAACCATGGTTGATTCTGGGTGTAAATATCTTAAACATTGTCACTTCCAAATGAAAAGAAAACATTGTTTTGTTTCATGATGGTTTTAATATCTTGTTGACATTACCAATGAGACTGCAGTTTTAGAGAACGGGTTTTACAGGACAGAAACAGACTTAACGTCATGTGACATGATACTTCATTACCGTTTGGCGAACATGACAGAGGACATCAAGCATTTTGCTATACTGTTGCATGGTGCTCAAATGACCTTCACTTAGCAAGAGGTGCTGTTTCTGAAGCCTTTCAAGGATTTCTCATTACACGCACACACAATACATGAGCATGTTCGGGTTGTTGCCCCTGGGTTTGAATCTAACTGGGGTAAGCCCAGTGCCATGAGAGAAGTTTGACATCACCTTGCCATATTTCTTCAAAGGGAATTATTTAAATTTTTATAAGATCAGTATGTGATGTGGAAGTGCCATCTTGGTTGAGAGTGATGATGAAACAATGTGCCATAGAGATGTTGGATCCCATGGGATAACCCATTATTACAACGCAAAGTGTATGTTGTCTGTGACTATGGTGGATGTATTTCTTCTCTGGTTTGGTAATACTTAGTTTTGTGCTTTTTACTCATCTATTTGGGGTGCTCCACTGTAGACTAACTTCTAACAGAGTTTGTCAATTGTATAGAAAATGAGGTTTGTTGTTATTGCTTCTCAGGAAGGAACTGAATGCACAAATTTGTCCTGTGAGAAGAGTTGATGTGTCAACCTCAGCTTTAACTATTTTGACAACTGAGTTATGTTTAAGAAAACATTTTCCAATTGTTACAAAACATTGTAATAAATATCATCCCTTAAATTCAAATTGTTCTTTTTCATTATACTTTATCCTATAATGGGGTGTTAGTTAATATGGTCAATATTTCCAAGCAGATGCTTCACAAAACAAGTCAAGTATCCCTTTGTTTCATTTGATTATTTGGACAATGTACATGTTTATGAGCTATCCGCAGGTTTTGGGATTTTTCACATACATGTATTACGGAGTCATAGCAATGACGCTGTACACATGTGCATTTCCTTTGTTAGTTTGTGTTTTAACGGCACAATATCCCAGCTATTTGACGACAGAGTTTGTTCCAGATAACCCAGTGATCAACAGCATGAGCATCGATCTATGCCACTGAGATGTGATGACGTGTCAACCAAGTCAGCGAGTCTGACCACCCGATCCCATTTGTCGCCTCTTATGACAAGCATGGGTTGCTGAAGACACGGATCTTCATGGGTCCATGATAAAGTTATAAGCTGACCCACAAAGAGGAATTGATCTCATTCCTACCAAAATTGAGTGAGTTTAGTTTTACGCCACAATCAGCAATATTCCAGCTATATGGTGGCGGTCTGTAAAAAATTGAATCTGGACCAGACAATCTAGTGATCAACAGCATGAGCATCAATCTACGCAATTGGGATACGATGACGTTTTAACCAAGTCAGCGAGCTTGACCACCTGATCCCGTTGGTCGCCTCATACTACAAGCATGGGTTGCTGAAGACCAATTCTAATCGGGATCTTCATGGGTTAAAAATTTAAAAGTCACACATCTCACACTATCAAGCTTATACAGTACTGAGTATAAATCTTATTCAAAGCTCACATGTAATATTGCACACTATCAAACTTATTATTGTGCCAGCAGGTATAGGAAGTACTATCAGCAGTGATGCTGGATGAGTATAGTGTGTACCTTCATACAATCTACATTGGCATACCAACCAATTCTTGAATCCATCTGTACAAAGCTCATATGTTCAAAAATCTACCTACTTTGAGTTTTAGTACTAGTTGGTTACAGTGTGTAAGACTTGTACAAGAACACAATACAAGAAAACTTGATAACGGTATTTATTGAATTAACAACAAGCAGTTTGAATCAGATTACAGGGATGAGTGATATGTACAACATTTGTTGACAATACATCTGGGACTGATAACAAACCTGGTTAGCATGATGCACTGTATCCTGAGATCTCAATGACTTAGTTTGCTTACATGAGTGACCTGTGAAAATGAACCTCAAATTAAAAAGTAGAAGCATAAATTTTGACCATTTTCTTGTGACTATCGTATTTTACATTTAGGTGAAATTTAACATTCACAGAAACTTTTATCGCTCTTTTGCAAGAATTTCTTTTGTTAAAATCTTGAGTCTAATGAAACAATCCTGTGTTATAAGTTGTTTGTTTTCCATTCATTGAAGCAGTAGATCTGGGTTTTAATAATTTTCTTTCTACCAGCTACACATAATTTCCATCACTTCACTGGGAAGCCCTGAATACACAAAGATAGTGTGTGGTGTTTTCCTACAAACAAACTGTAAATGGCTTTCAGTTGTTCCAGCACATCCACATTAATACTGTATTTCAAATAGCACTCTTGGGTCATTTATTTCTAAAATGAAATAAAATACAGTCAAAATTTCCCTCGTGTGAAGATATATGCTGATGGAATGAAACTAAAGAGAATGCATAATTCTGAAGTTGAATGGTTACTTGAGTGTTAAATATAAATGCTGCATATGAAAAACACATGTTATAACACGCTTCCTTGACACCTCCTCAGTTATCCAGTGTATGGCCTTTCCATTCTATAAATACTTTTATATTCACTCTTGTAGCTTCATTTCTAATGACATGATGCTTAGAAAAGGCATCAAGTCAAATTATGCACATGTTTGTATTTAGGAATTGTCACTGATAGCAGAGATGGGGAAACTTTGTATTGGTCAAGGATGTTTGTGATACTAGGATGGAGACAAAATAACCTGGATCACTGAAGATGCCATAGACACAAGTTCCCTTATTTCATTCCATCAGTATATTTTCATTTTTAATGTTAATCTCATAAGTTTTGGCATCAGTATAGGCAAGTCTGTAAAGTTGGATAGCAAACACAACAGATGGCTGGTGGTAGCAAGAATGATGATTCGATCAGATCAGATCAGCATGGAAGACGGACTGACTGAGTTTGGTTTTACACCACTTTTAGCAATATTCAAGCAACATCACGGCAGGGGACACTAAAAATGGGCTTCACACATTGTACCTATGTGAGGATTCGAACCCGGGTCTTCGGCGTGACGAGCCAACGCTTTAACCATTAGGCTACCCCACCGCCCCAGCATGGAAGAACAACCTGAGGACTGACTAGTCAATACTTGTCCAAACAATTTGTAATAATATATGATATGTCAAAATAGCAAAATGTATATAAATAATTTGTTACACATGTAAATGATATGATAAAACAACAAAATAATGAGAAAACAATAAATTAATGGACTGACTGTGCAGGACTTCAACTGATGACCATCAACTTGGGTGTGTTTCATCATCAGTTGGCAGCATGACCCACTGTGCTAACACTACACACTGCTGCAAATCATACCACATTAAACACATTGTTTTCATTGCCAAGGGATCAGAGAGTTTGACAATTCAGGCAGGTAGCAGTGCCATATGCCTGCATATATTTGTCAAGTTAACACACTGTTGCTAGCATTAAAATGATATGGGACTATTTCTTTAGCTTTCCTCATGTAACAAACACAAAATCATTTTACTATCCTTACAATCACCTCATAAGTAAAGTTATAAGGACTAAATTGAACAATGTGCTGACTGAATCATATACATTTGCAGCTACTCAACTTTTTGGTAAATGATTCTGTATAAGATAATGATATGAGTGAAGATTGTCACAATAAAACAGGTATGTGATATGTAACAGGTAAAAATATATACGAGAGATGTGATAGATATGTATAATCAAGATGTGCATGAACATTTATGAACAATCAGGGAGCCAACATTTGTGCCTTGAAACAGTCCTCACTCGGGCTTTTGAAGCGCATACTGGCCATTATTGAGGGGCTCCCCAGGTTCGCTGCCATTGTACTCTCCTGAGATGTTCTCTCAGTGTCCATCTGGGCTGTTACCATGTTGTTCTCCAGAACTGTTGCCATGGTACACTCTTGAACTGTTGCCATGTTGCTCGCCTGAACTGTTGCCACAGTGACCACCTGGGCTGTTGCCATGGTGATCTGGATTATTTTCACAGACCTCAACTGCACTATTGCAGAAGAGCTCTCGGACTCACCAGGTCAATTACCAGTTCTGTGACTAGTAGACAAAAAATTGCATTGTCCATAAATACAATGTTCCAAGGTAGCCATCAACCACTCATTCTAGGTGCTGCTTATTCTCAAATTGAGGTTTGCATCATGATGTTTTATGAAAACACTGGCATCGTGTACAAAAGTGTGATTTCCACTCCCATAGATGTGGTTCACATATTACTTTTGGTCTGCCAGCCCATGGGTACCCCTTGATGGCTTCCTTTAAATATGACTGTCCCACACCAATAATCTAAACCAGTTCCCAGTCAACCTATAATTTGACTTCTGTCAAGCTAAACAACATTTTCTGATTACATTTAGGTAAAGACTGGTAACTTATAAAGAAGAATAAGAAAACGAAACTGTCAGTGAATAACATCAGATAACTGAAACTTCTGTTTGTATGAGGGACTATTCACAAATACAGGGTTCCATTTTGTACACAGGTGGGAAACTGGGACATCTGTATAAATTATTCAAACAGCACAGGTAAAAGATAGGTAAAAAAGTGAAAACAACCCAGTAAACATATAGCAGCCATTTGCGACTCTGGATCTTATGCCACAGATCTGTAAATACTGAAAAGTCAGAACAATCACCAGATATCCTGCCAAGGATCTGAAGAACTTTCAAACTTTAAAGGGCAACTTTTGAAATGGACTGGGTATTCATAAACTGATACTGAATGGTATCACATTGGTGGAAGTATGTCTGAATCAAGGTAACTGAATTTCCCTTGCAACAATCTGTGTGATCAATGGAAGCATCATAAACATGTACTTGGCACAATAAAACTTGAAAAACACATTTGTTAAGAATTCCTTTCAGTTCATCATACTCATACATAGAAATCATATTTTGGCAGAACTGTGAGGAAGTTATCAAATATCTGTGAAGGATTGTGCTATAACATGCAGCAATTCTCTCCACAGGACCTGTAACTTGTACATATCCCTGCTGTTGATAGATGAAGGGTTGCCATGAGCTAGCAGCAGGTAGAGTTGTTCACGAACTGTGTTGTTGATGAATGAAGGGTTGCCGTGAGCTAGTAGCAGGTAGAGTTGTTCACGGACTGCTGTTGATGAATGAAGGGTTGCCGTGAGATAGCAGGTAGAGTACACCGACTGTGCTGTTGATGAATGAAGGGTTGCCGTGAGCTAGCAGCAGGTAGAGTACACCGACTGTGTGCTGATTGATGAAGAATGAGCTAGCAGCAGGTAGAGTACAATCACTGTGCTGTTGATGAATGCAGGGCAGGTAGAGTAGCAGCAGGTAGTACAATCGACTGTGTGGATGATGAAGGGTTGCCGTGAGCTAGCAGCAGGTAGAGTACACCGACTGTGTTGTTGATGAATGAAGGGTTGCCGTGAGCTAGCAGCAGGTAGAGTTCACAGACTGTGTTGTTGATGAATGAAGGGTTGCCGTGAGCTAGCAGCAGGTAGAGTTCACAGACTGTGTTGTTGATGGATGAAGAGTTGCCGTGAGCTAGCAGCAAGTAGAGTTCACAGACTGTGTTGTTGATAGATGAAGGGTTGTCGTGAGCTAGCAGCAGGTAGAGTACACGGACTGTGTTGTTGATGAAGGAAGGGTTGCCGTGAGCTAGCAGCAGGTAGAGTTCACAGACCGTGCTGTGGATGAACGAAGGGTTGCCATGAGCTAGCAGCAGGTAGAGTACACGGACTGTGTTGTTGATGAAGGAAGGGTTGCCGTGAGCTAGCAGCAGGTAGAGTTCACAGACCGTGCTGTGGATGAACGAAGGGTTGCCATGAGCTAGCAGCAGGTAGGTAGCAGCAGGTAGAGTACACCGACTGTGTTGTTGATGAATGAAGGGTTGCCGTGAGCTAGCAGCAGGTAGAGTACACCGACTGTTGTTGATAGATGAAGGGTTGCCATGAGATAGCAGCAGGTAGAGTTCACACACTGTGCTGTTGATAGATGAAGGGTTTCAGTGAGCTAGCAGCAGGTAGAGTACACCGACTGTGTTGTTGATGAATGAAGGGTTGCCATGAGTTGGAATATGTACAATTTCCGGACTCTGTATTTGATGAAGAGCAGCCAGTACCTGGAACACGGACACATCCCGGACTAATGTTTGAAGGTCAGCTACTGTCATACCATCCTGTTCACAGTGCCCTGAATAGCAATCAGCTCCTCCACTGAGTCTTCTGATGTTGAACTTTTACTGATATCTACACCTGCAGGAACAACAATAGGTTACTAACATTATCAGTCAACAAAACCTAAATCACAGATACTTCATGTAATTAGATCCATAAGGTGTTTCAGGCATTCAAGGTGCCACCATGCAGATGTTTCAGGGTGGACAGATCTCACTGGAGCTTAATCTAGATGATCCAGATTTGAATTAATCATAAAAGTCGGATTTAACACAACTTGACAAGTATAGTCGTTCAATAAAATATGAGTATCATGCAATAATGACTTGAATTATTCATTTGCTTATTTGTAATTAATTTATTTATATACTGTCTGTTTTACTCGTTTCAGAATTTTCACAGATTAGTTTTCATGAAAATAGTATCAGCTCAGACTTGTCATGAAAGGTGGGCTTGTTAATTAGGATCGCCTGTACACTGACAGTATTTCAAAGCATCCTACCTTTGTTGTAACTGTGACAACAAAAGTGGTCAGTCAGTTATATGTGGAGTGAGTTAAAAGTTGAAAGTTTGGGTGTGTGGATGTTATTTTGCAAATAGTGGTCATCATCAAAGGAATGGGATGCTTCGTGATGAGTAGTTGGGACTCCCAAATATGCACATGAAAAAAACGTTTCACAACACCTATGATTTTTAACCCCATACAGCCTTTTACATTCATATCTGAATTATGTATGTTTGTATTCTGACCCTTCCGACGTACCATACATTTCGATGAATATACTCAGAACAGAAGGCTAGTCTTCATGGTCTGACAAGAGTCCAGGGTGCTGTTGAACAAAACCATGACAGTTAGCACTAAGATCGATTTGTACAACGGTACCCAGATCTCAATCCCATAGAGCCTGTTAGGAACACTGTGGGTCTCCGATTATACTATTTTTTCATTCTTTTTGCGTTTAGATTTGCCATTTAATTTTTTCTTGAGGGTCAATTCATCCTGATAGTATGTTAAATTGAGGTTTGGATAAGTTCTTTTGCTATGGATAATGGTAACATATTGATACTTTGATATATATGAGGTGTTGTGATGTTTTGTCCATGTGTATATATTTAAGACAACTAGCACTATAACAAATAACCACTTCTACTGATCAGAGTATAAATGATTATAATCATAAATGGAATTGAAAAGGAACCAGGAATTCGACATAACCAGGTTTACCACAAGGTTCAACTATATGACCACTGCTGATTCCTACCTTTCCGTCTTCCCTGAGGCAGGAAGAAGATGACACATGTGAAGAGGCAGATGTGCCAGGTGCTGTGGACATAGCGGTAGTTTTCCACAGTCTCCGCGAAGGAGAACACTGCTGCCCCTGACCCGGCGATGACGACACCTGGTAGGAGGAAGAACACATACCTCTTCCATGTAGGATAGCACCTGCCACGTGATCTGCACTTTAAGCTCTGAAACCAGAACAATACTATTGAAACTTCAGCCCCGTCGAGGAATCATGCTTCAGTTCTGGTATTTGATTGAAGCAGAAACTTTGAAAGTTCAGGCAACAGGGTTTTCACAGAATACTGTTTCATATCATTCTGGGTGACATTCCATTGATCTCACAGCTGCAGTTAGGAGAAATGGGCTATTGAAAATTAACCCATATTTCAGCATGACCGACACACTATGCTAGCCCAAGATCCCAGCTATTCAGTCAGTATGGATTTATACAAATTTTAGCACTGCAGGGCACATTGGATATGGGCTTCAAACACTGAACCCTTCTGAGGGACCAAGCCTGGGCTTTCAGCCTGTTGAGTAAATACTTTAACCACAAGCCTATCCAACTGAACCCTGTTGCATATATTGGATCACATAAATGAATACCTGTGTAAAAATGGTATGAAAAGAGAAACTTTCTTAACTTACCCATGACACAGCAAGAAGGACAACTCCACACAACAAAGGCACTAAAATCAACCACAGACTAGTATGATCCTTCAGAACTCCTATTGGCAGAACCAGCAGAGCAGCCACTTGGAGGATGACTGTGATTGGTGCCTGCACCCTCGCCATGGCAACGATGGTAAACCACAGTGAGCAGACGGAAGAGAGGAAGTCGCAGAAGCTGAGGATGTTGTAGTCCATCATGCAGTATTTGTACATCGCTATACGGTCTCCATCACACGCATGGTACATCTGACAGAAGGAAGACAAAGTGGAAAGCAATATGAAAATGGACAGTCAAACCTAAACTAGGCTCATTGTTGACATCCCACAGGTTTTGTGTACACTACAGTCATTACCCTTGAATACACTGCTTTTAGGTGTAGTTGTCATGTTATCCGTCAAAATGTTAAGTACCAGTAAATATAATGGAGTTGTTTTTAACTCATGGAGGTTTATTTGGGCCTATTCTCTACTGACTGGGGAGAAGAACATGCTATAAATGTATCCATGGTTACCATGAGGTGGAGAAGAAAATGCTGCATGTGTAGCCATGGTTACCATGGCGTTGTGACTGCGGAGAAGAAAATGCTTTGACATAAATTTCCTTATGGACATACACTTTTAGTATTAGGCCCTGTGGCCAATCATTTCATCAAACCCTGTCAAAAGTGTAGTCAGAAAACAATTTTTGAACATTGCTAATTTGTACAGAGTGGCACCTACACCTAGCATATGACTGGGGCCTGTGTGTACTCACTGTGGAGAAGAACATGTTGTATGTAAAGACCAAGGCTTCTGTGTAGAATCTGCGGTAAAGAGCCAGTGCTATGGCAGGAAGAAAGAACAAGTTGCTGAGTGTGAGCAGGAGGATGTCCTCCAGCTGGGATGCCACTGTGAATGCCTCCGACCCATCACTGCAAGCATAGCCCCGCCAACCTGGAGACAGTAAACATGTGGACATGCTGCTGACTTGTCAATGTATTGAAGATCACTGTTTTTTGCTCCATTTGAAAATTTTGCATTAAATGATATCAACCATACAGTGGGCCTACAACCGGACTGACAGAATGACCACTACCAGCCTGACAGAATGACCACTACCGGCCATACAGAATGACCACAACCGGCCTGACAGAATGACCAGTACCGGCCTGACAGAATGACCACAACCGGCCTGACAGAATGACCACTACCGGCCTGACAGAATGACCACAACCAGCCTGACAGAATGACCACTACCGGCCTGACAGAATGACCACAACCAGCCTGACAGAATGACCACAACCGGCCTGACAGAATGACCACTACCTGCCTGACAGAATGACCACAACCAGCCTGACAGAATGACCACTACCAGCCTGACAGAATGACCACTACCGGCCTGACAGAATGACCACAACCAGCCTGACAGAATGACCACAACCGGCCTGACAGAATGACCACTACCAGCCTGACAGAATGACCACAACCGGCCTGACAGAATGACCACTACCAGCCTGACAGAATGACCACTACCAGCCTGACAGAATGACCACAACCAGCCTGACAGAATGACCACTACCAGCCTGACAGAATGACCACTACCAGTCTGACAGAATGACCACAACCGGCCTGACAGAATGACCAGTACCAGCCTGACAGAATGACCACAACCGGCCTGACAGAATGACCACTACCAGCCTGACAGAATCACCACTACCAGCCTGACAGAATCACCACTACCAGCCTGACAGAATGACCACTACCTGCCTGACAGAATGACCACAACCGGCCTGACAGAATGACCACTACCGGCCTGACAGAATGACCACTACCAGCCTGACAGAATGACCACAACCAGCCTGACAGAATGACCACTACCAGCCTGACAGAATGACCACTACCAGTCTGACAGAATGACCACAACCGGCCTGACAGAATGACCACTACCAGTCTGACAGAATGACCACAACCGGCCTGACAGAATGACCAGTACCAGCCTGACAGAATGACCACAACCGGCCTGACAGAATGACCACTACCAGCCTGACAGAATCACCACTACCAGCCTGACAGAATCACCACTACCAGCCTGACAGAATGACCACTACCAGCCTGACAGAATGACCACTACCTGCCTGACAGAATGACCACAACCGGCCTGACAGAATGACCAGTACCGGCCTGACAGAATGACCACTACCAGTCTGACAGAATGACCACTACCAGTCTGACAGAATGACCACAACCGGCCTGACAGAATGACCAGTACCAGCCTGACAGAATGACCACTACCAGCCTGACAGAATGACCACTACCAGCCACACAGAAACACCACTACCAGCCTGACAGAATCACCACTACCAGCCTGACAGAATGACCACAACCGGCCTGACAGAATGACCAGTACCAGTCTGACAGAATGACCACTACCAGTCTGACAGAATGACCACAACCGGCCTGACAGAATCACCACTACCAGCCTGACAGAATGACCACAACCGGCCTGACAGAATGACCAGTACCGGCCTGACAGAATGACCACTACCAGTCTGACAGAATGACCACTACCAGTCTGACAGAATGACCACAACCGGCCTGACAGAATGACCACTACCAGCCTGACAGAATGACCACAACCAGCCTGACAGAATGACCAGTACCAGCCTGACAGAATGACCACAACCGGCCTGACAGAATGACCAGTACCAGTCTGACAGAATGACCACAACCGGCCTGACAGAATGACCACTACCAGCCTGACAGAATGACCACTACCAGTCTGACAGAATCACCACTACCAGCCTGACAGAATCACCACTACCAGCCTGACAGAATGACCACAACCGGCCTGACAGAATGACCAGTACCGGCCTGACAGAATGACCACTACCGGCCTGACAGGACAACTACTACCGGCCTGACAGAATGATCACTACCAGTCTGACAAAAGAACTACCACCAGCTTGACAGACAGACTAACACCAACCTGACAGAATGACCACTACCAGCCTGACAGAATGACCACTACCAGCCTGACAGAATGACCACTACCAGCCTGACAGAATGACCACTACCAGCCTGACAGAATGACCACTACCAGCCTGACAGAATGACCACTACCAGCCTGACAGAATGACCACTACCAGCCTGACAGAATCACCACTACCAGCCTGACAGAATGACCACTACCAGCCTGACAGAATGACCACTACCAGCCTGACAGAATGACCACTACCAGCCTGACAGAATCACCACTACCAGCCTGACAGAATGACCACAACCGGCCTGACAGAATGACCACTACCAGCCTGACAGAATGACCACAACCGGCCTGACAGAATGACCACTACCTGCCTGACAGAATGACCACTACCAGCCTGACAGAATGACCAGTACCGGCCTGACAGAATGACCACAACCGGCCTGACAGAATGACCAGTACCGGCCTGACAGAATGACCACTACCAGTCTGACAGAATGACCACTACGAGTCTGACAGAATGACCACAACCGGCCTGACAGAATGACCAGTACCAGCCTGACAGAATCACCACTACCAGCCTGACAGAATCACCACTACCAGCCTGACAGAATGACCACAACCGGCCTGACAGAATGACCAGTACCGGCCTGACAGAATGACCACTACCGGCCTGACAGGTCAACTACTACCGGCCTGACAGAATGATCACTACCAGTCTGACAAAAGAACTACAAACAGGTTGACAGACAGACTAACACCAACCTGACAGAATGACCAGTACCAGCCTGACAGAATCACCACTACCAGCCTGACAGAATCACCACTACCAGCCTGACAGAATGACCACAACCGGCCTGACAGAATGACCACAACCGGCCTGACAGAATGACCACTACCAGTCTGACAGAATGACCACTACCAGTCTGACAGAATGACCACAACCGGCCTGACAGAATGACCAGTACCAGCCTGACAGAATGACCACTACCAGCCTGACAGAATGACCACAACCGGCCTGACAGAATGACCACTACCTGCCTGACAGAATGACCACTACCAGCCTGACCGAATGACCACTACCGGCCTGACAGAATGACCACTACCTGCCTGACAGAATGACCACTACCAGCCTGACAGAATGACCACTACCAGCCTGACAGAATGACCACAACCGGCCTGACAGAATGACCACTACCTGCCTGACAGAATGACCACTACCAGTCTGACAGAATGACCACTACCTGCCTGACAGAATGACCACTACCAGCCTGACAGAATGACCACTACCAGCCTGACAGAATGACCACTACCAGCCTGACAGAATGACCACTACCAGCCTGACAGAATGACCACTACTGGCCTGACAGGACAACTACTACCGGCCTGACAGAATGATCACTACCAGTCTGACAAAAGAACTACCACCAGCTTGACAGACAGACTAACACCAACCTGACAGAATGACCAGTACCAGCCTGACAGAATGACCACTACCAGCCTGACAGAATGATCACTACCGGCCTGACAGAATGACCACTACCAGCCTGACAGAATGATCACTACCGGCCTGACAGAATGATCACTACCAGTCTGACAGAATGATCACTACCAGTCTGACAAAAGAACTACTACCAGCTTGACAGACAGACTAACACCAACCTGACAGAAGAACCAGTACCAGCCTGCCCGAGAGACTACATTGTACGTACCTGCCTGACAGTTGCATGTAGAATAGATGATGAGGGACGGACCAACAATGTACTCCTTGCAGTTGCCATGTCCACTGCAGGTGTTGCCCACACAACGGTCAGTTGACAGTTTCATCTTGATGTTGTAGCTGCTGTTGGAGCAGGGAGTCCAGGTGATGCTGATGGGCAAAACAAGGATATACACTGTCTGCTATCAGGGATGGTCAACTCTGGAATATCATACATCCCTCAGCAGTACTCAGCAACTGATGACAGCAAAATAAGACACTTGATCAACATATGCTTGGTGAATGATGCCAGATTGCACATTACATCTTATGACAAGTCTGTATTAGTGTATGCTGTGTGAAGTCTGTCTAACATCATCCAGCATCATAATGATGGGTGTAAATAGTCTGGTCTGAACCAGACAACCGTGTGACTGAAAGCATGAATAAGGAACCCTACACAATCAGGCACACAGTCTGACCACATGGCAAGCATGATGTATCAGGGACCTTTTCTGACCTGACAGGCTTGTTTACAGTAGAAGTGTAGTTTTGACAAGCCCGGTGTGCACAAGCATACCTACACTGACAAGGATCGTAATAAGGGCAATTCTTGGACTGAACTCAAAGTAGAGATCCTGGCACAGCCAAGGCATGTAACTCTGCAAATGGAACATATGCCTTACATCACTAAGCCTACTGTGTCTCCTTGTGGCTCACCTGAGACACACTGACTGTGACACAGTTAATGTGTCACATCCACCTTGCTGTGACACAACCACCTTGCTGTGACACCCCCATGCCATACACTCCGTGACACTAACTCCATGACACGCCTCCTGTGACAGATCCCCTCTGACCCACCTTCTGTGACGCATTCACTGTGACACACTCACCTGCTGTTGTCGTCTGTGTAGCAGTTCAGCGAGAGAGTGACGGACCACAACCCAGGTTCAGGGTACGGCACAAACACCTGCCCCTTCAGTCCAGGTGTGCTGCTGTTCACCTGAACCTCGTTACTGGACAGGGAGGAGATATTACATGGGTTGTCTGATGGAAGAGCTGGAATCTTGTCTCGCAGAATCTGCCCACAAATCTGGACATTCTCCGTATCTGAGTCCTGCGGAGACAAAATGTCATCATTATGAAAGATACATGAATCAAGTAATGTCAATACAGTTCTTGAGTTGTCCTGCCTCTTAGGGCCTGGGAAATAAATAAAGATGGGTTCCATCAATACCGCACATATAACACAAGGACAAAATGTCAGCTAAATGTCAATCTGTACATAATCAAGTCTGAACGATCCATGACCAAATATCTATGCAACTAGAATATGAGGACATGCCTCAATCAAGTCAACACATCTAACCAATCCTGTTAGTCACCTCTACAACAAGTATGGGTTGATGGAGATCATTCTGAATTGAACCTTCACAAGTCCGAGGATGCAGTAACTTTGTGACATTTAAATACATGGTAGTACATGGCTCACCTCATCACTATCTTCCATGGCAACAGACCAGACAAGGGTGCCACCAACATCCAAGATATCCTTGAGCTCAAATGGAATGACCGTTGACCTATCTTCTGTCAGGGTCAGCGATATGTCAGGTGGCTTGCTGTCATTGACAAGATACACATAGTCCACTCGGAAGTCTCGGTCTGAGTACTGGAAACGGTCCAGTTTGGGGTACAGGCTACACAATGAGTCTGATGGTGAGTCAGTTGTGTTGCCATCCATGACATCATAATCCAAATCACAATCTGTCAAAACATCAACAATCAGTAATATCATGGTTGGTAGGTTGTTTGGTTGGTTTCTTGTTTAATGCTGCACTCAGCAATATTCCAGCAATATGGCAGTGGTCTGTAAATAATCAAATCTGGACCAGACAATCCAGTGATCAACAGCATGAGCATCGATCTATCAATTGGGATGTGATGACATGTACATCAACCAAGTCAGCGAGCATGATCACCTGATTCTGTTAGTCGCCTCTTACGACAAACACGGGTTACTGAAGGCCAATTCTATCCTGGATCCTTGCCTGTCTAATATAATGGAGTGCAGACTACCCAGAGTTGAAGGGGCACAGAGTATTCTCCAGGATAAAGACACAAACTATCAGCTGACAATTATAAAGCATGACAACACAGAGTAGGTGAGTCCATTTAGTCATATGCTGAATTCCCAATATTCTGCTTATATCACAGAGGCCTGTAAATTATCACTTTTGAATCAGAGGTTGATGGTATGAGCACTATAAGACACTTTTATCACCTCCGATCCTCATTTAATAATGGTCATTACATTGAAATAATAATGCATTATCTGACCCGCCTCTGACCCCTACATTGTAGCCCTTGTTAACTTTGGACTGTCTATGGAATGAGGTGAACTGAAACCCACCTATGCTAGAGATATTGAAAGTCACCTCCACAGCCTTTGCAGATGTTATTAGCTGCACATGATGCCACGCCCCTAACCAGGGGGAGACAACTGTGTACATGCATGGAGGGACAGTACAGACTGAGGTGTTGGCAGTGATGTTGTTAGCTTCATAGACGGTGACATGGAGGCCGCAGTCTGTGTGGTTACACAAGGAGACTCCCAGGGTGTACTGCAACACCGTCTCCCCGACGTAAAACCTGTAATATACAAGACACAATGGAGTAACAAATCATCAACAGTCTATAGGGTTACACAAAGAGACTCCCAGGGTGTACTGCAACACCGTCTCCCCGACGTAAAACCTGTAATATACAAGACACAATGGAGTAACAAATCATCAACAGTCTATAGGGTTACACAAAGAGACTCCCAGGGTGTACTGCAACACCGCCTCTCCCCGACGTGAAAACCTGTAATATACAAGACACAATGGAGTAACAAATCATCAACAGTCTATAGGGTTACACAAAGAGACTCCCAGGGTGTACTGCAACACCGTCTCCCCCACGTAAAACCTGTAATATACAAGACACAATGGAGTAACAAATCACCATCAGTCTATAGGGTTACACAAGGAGACTCCCAGGGTGTACTGCAACACCGTCTCCCCGACATAAAACCTGTAATATACAAGACACAATGGAGTAACAAATCATCAACAGTCTATAGGGTTACACAAAGAGACTCCCAGGGTGTACTGCAACACTGTCTCCCGACGTAAAACCTGTAATATACAAGACACAATGGAGTAACAAATCACCATCAGTCTATAGGGTTATACAAGGAGACTCCCAGGGTGTACTGCAACACCGTCTCCCCGACGTAAAACCTGTAATATACAAGACACAATGGAGTAACAAATCATCAACAGTCTATAGGGTTACACAAAGAGACTCCCAGGGTGTACTGCAACACCGTCTCCCCGACGTAAAACCTGTAATATACAAGACACAAAGGGGTAACAAATCATCAACAGTCTATAGGGTTACACAAGGAGACTCCCAGGGTGTACTGCAACACTGTCTCCCGACGTAAAACCTGTAATATACAAGACACAAAGGGGTAACAAATCATCAACAGTCTATAGGGTTACACAGAGACCATATATGGTCTCTGGGTTACACAAGCAGGACACATATTGCAAGTACTTTCTTCAAATGAAATTGCAACATATATATTTACAATGCATTATGACATCTTTGGTTTTCAAATTATATTTGTTTTCAGCAATATCTTGCTGTATATATTTCCTATCTATTGCCATAAAACCTCTCCACAGTTTCAGCTCAAGGACCATGAACTATTACAGAAGACAACTAAACGACATTCTGACACAGACGGTAAATCTTACCTGAAAGTACGGCCAGTGTCTGAAACAATCAGGGCGGTGTCTGTTCCCATGGCAACAGTGTCTATGTCGGGATGGATGTTGTATGACAAGGAGGAAGAGATTTTGTAGTCACAGCTTGTGGTGAGACCCTGAAGTCACACAGATCGTTGTCACCACATTCTCACACTTATACAAATCATCATCATCATCATCATCATCATTCTCATACCTATACAAATCATCATCATCATCATTCTCACACCTATACAAATCATCATCATCAGTATTCTCACACCTATTCAAACCATCAACATCTTCATCTGTTTACTCACACCTATACAAACCACCACCATCTTCATCATCATCATCATCTGTATTCTGACACCTATACATACCTGCATTTTTATTGCAAGCTTTTCATCATGGCCTTTGTAAATTTAAAGTGGTAAGCAGAAAATTAAAAACATATTTGTGAGTAATAATTCATTTTTGTAGTAAAGATTAGTCCACTCTTCACATTCAGGGAAATCAGTGCCCCTGGCTACTAAGTCCAACCTTTTGCTGTATGCGTGTATCTTGCCATGGCCTGAAGGCGACCGCATACCAGTACCCTGGAGTTGGCCATGACACGGACAGGGGAACGCTGATGTTGTTAGGCATCAGCTGCAGATGATGTTGATGGGAACGCTGGAGGTAGAAGTGATCAGGGAACGTCTCGTTCTTCGGATTGATGACTGGCAGACTGCCGTACTGGAGGTACCTGATGGGTGACGTCATGAATGTATACATGGAAGTATAACATGGACATTTCCTTCTCTTGTAACAATTGCTTGATACACAAGAGTATTTTCAAAATTTGATGTCAGCATCGATTTTAAGTATTTGCTGCATCAATAACTGCTGGAGAGCTTATAATCACACACTAAAAGCATAATGATTAGATCAAAATATGAGGTTTATATACAGATAAACATCCTCAAAAAGGATGTTATAGGGAAGCAATTGTTTCATAAGCTAACAGTACAGTAAATGGAAACAGACAAAAGAGTAATTAAATGTAAAGCAAAGTAAAAATCAAACATTCGACATCCAGCCTATATTATTCCATGGATGCAAAATGAAAGAGTAATGGGGAGGCCATGATTGCAATTCCCAACACTAGACTGGAGTTGTGTAAGCATTTGGTAAAAGACAATGTAGTTTGGTTTATCTTATTTACAACTTCATTAAACTCATTAGTATCAGGTATTTTACTGCAACCTCAATACCGCATTCCATAAAACTCAGACAAAGCCTTTGTAAGAGGTCAAGTTAGACAAACACACATGCAATCAGTCTGGCATGACTCATATTTGTAAGTGAAGCATTTTACTCAGTATATCTAAATACTGTATCGTAACAGGGCCGTTGTTAACTTTTATTAATAAGGGGCACCATCCATGTTAAAACAGTGTTATATCAATAGTTGGATGCACAAAAATTGATCTGTAAAAAGATTCTAGGGGGGCAGCAGCCACCCTCCCCCCCTCTTCGGCCCTGCATAAAAACAAACCTACCAGGCTGTGTCAAATTGTGAATGATTTGATAACATCTGCTCTATATCATATTTATTTTACACACTGTCCTCTCAGTTATATCTTTAAATCAATGGGGTTTTTTCATTATCCCATCACAAAATATTAGTAAAACTGAGCTGCGAACGGCAAGTGTATAAGGTATATTGATGAATCATTACATAAAGGTTGTATCTGACTGACCCTAAGCAAATCACAGCCTTCTGTTTAATATGTTGGTCACAGATTTCCAGTGCAGCTTCCAGTGTTGTAATTGTCAGATCTTGACAGAGATTAGACTGAATTTTAGTGAGTGAGTAAGTTTGGTTTCAGCAATATTCCATCACTATCATGGTGGGGGACACCAGATAAGGGCTTCACTCATTGTATCCACATGGGGAATCGTTTCAGAATCTTCACGTAATGAGCCAACACTTTAACTATTAGGCTATTTAACGATAATGAAATATAGAACAATAAGTATAACTCACACATCAACTTGGTCATCATCACAGTCTTCTGGTTCTTTACTGGCTCTGAACTTCCATGTGACCAGACTGGTTCCTTCTGGGACGTTGTACTTTATGGGAGTCACCGAGTGGAAGGAGGCATAGCTGTAGACATGGAGGGCCTGTTGCCACTCTACACCACACACACACCCTGAAACACACATGTAGACATGGAGGGCCTGTTGCCACTCTACACCATACACACACCCTGAAACACACATGTAGACATGGAGGGCCTGTTGCCACTCTACACCACACACACACATGTAGACCCTGCCACTCTACACCACACAACACACATGTAGACATGGAGGGCCTGTTGTCAGCTTCTACACCCACACACACACCCTGAAACACACATGTAGACATGGAGGGCCTGTTGCCACTCTGAAACACACACACCACACACACCCTGAAACACACATGTAGACATTGAGGGTCTGTTGCCACTCTACACCAAACACACACCCTGAAACACACATGTAGACATGGAGGGCCTGTTGCTACTCTACACCACACACAACCCTGAAACACACATGTAGATCATGGAGGGGCTGTTCTACACCATACACACACCCTGAAACACACATGTAGACATGGAGGGCCTGTTGCCACTCTACACCATACACACACCCTGAAACACACATGTAGACATGGAGGGCCTGTTGCCACTCTACACCATACACACACACCCTGAAACACACATGTAGACATGGAGGGCTACTTCTACACCCTGTTGTCAGCTGTTGCCTCTCTACACCATACACACACTGAAACCCTGAAACACACTGTGTAGACATGGAGGGGCCTGTTGTCAGCTCTACACCATACACACACCCTGAAACACACATGTAGACATGGAGGGCCTGTTGCGGCTCTACACCATACACACACCCTGAAACACACATGTAGACATGGAGGGCCTGTTGCCACTCTACACCATACACACACACCCTGAAACACACATGTAGACATGGAGGGTCTGTTGCCACTCTACACCCAAACACACCCCCTGAAACACACATGTAGACATGGAGGGCCTGTTGCCACTCTACACCACACACACACCCCTGAAACACACATGTAGACATGGAGGGCCTGTTGCCACTCTACACCACACACACACCCTGAAACACACATGTACACACATGGATGGAGGGCCTGTTGCCACTCACACACCATACACACACCCTGAAACACACATGTAGACATGGAGGGCCTGTTGCCAGCTCTACACCATACACACACCCTGAAACACACTACACCATACACACACCCTGTAGACATGGAGGGCCTGTTGTCAGCTGCTCTACACCATACACACACCCTGAAACACACATGTAGACATGGAGGGCCTGTTGCCGCTCTACACCATACACACACCCTGAAACACACATGTAGACATGGAGGGCCTGTTGCCACTCTACACCATACACACACCCTGAAACACACATGTAGACATGGAGGGTCTGTTGCCACTCTACACCAAACACACACCCCTGAAACACACATGTAGACATGGAGGGCCTGTTGCCACTCTACACACACACACACACCCTGAAACACACATGTAGACATGGAGGGCCTGTTGCCACTCTACACCATACACACACCCTGAAACACACATGTAGACATGGAGGGCCTGTTGCCACTCTACACCACACACACACCCTGAAACACACATGTAGACATGGAGGGCCTGTTGCAGCTCTACACCACACACACACACCCTGAAAAACACACATGTAGACATGGAGGGCCTGCTGTCACTTCTACACACACACACACCCTGAAACACACATGTAGACATGGAGGGCCTGTTGCCACTCTACACCACACACACCCTGAAACACACATGTAGACATTGAGGGTCTGTTGCCACTCTACACCAAACACACCCCTGAAACACACATGTAGACATGGAGGGCCTGTTGCCAGCCTCTACACCATACACACACCCTGAAACACACATGTAGACATGGAGGGCCTGTTGCCACTCTACACCATACACACACCCTGAAACACACATGTAGACATGGAGGGCCTGTTGCCACTCTACACCATACACACACCCTGAAACACACATGTAGACATGGAGGGCCTGCTCTACACCATTGTCAGCTTCTACACCATACACACACCCTGAAACACATGCATGGATGTGTAGACATGGAGGGCCTGTTGTCAGCTCTACACCATACACACACCCTGAAACACACATGTAGACATGGAGGGCCTGTTGCCAGCCTCTACACCATACACACACCCTGAAACACACATGTAGACATGGAGGGCCTGTTGCCACTCTACACCATACACACACCCTGAAACACACATGTAGACATGGAGGGTCTGTTGCCACTCTACACCAAACACACCCCCTGAAACACACATGTAGACATGGAGGGCCTGTTGCCACTCTACACCACACACACACCCTGAAACACACATGTAGACATGGAGGGCCTGTTGCCACTCTACACCACACACCCACCCCACCCCCCTGAAACACACATGTAGACATGGAGGGTCTGTTGCCACTCTCTACTGCGCAGATCAATGCTCATGCCGTTGATCACAGGATTGTCTGGTCCAGACTTGATTATTTACAGACTGCCGCCATATGGCTTGAATATTGCTGAGTGCGGCGTAAAACTCACTGTTGCCACTCTACACCATACACACACCCTGAAACACACGTTACATTTGATGTGCCAACAAAAGGGCTTTGAATATGAATCATCTTTCAACTTGAAATCACTGAACTCTGATCTTTGGAAATTTTACACAATTTGGAGAAAGGATTGGAGTTAATAAAAATGTCTGTCAGCAAATAAACTAACGTAACATTAATTACAATAAATCACAAATTGTCAAATCCAAGTTTTGCTTTTAACATATTGAGAGGAAAGTATTTGAGACAATCCCTCCTGATTGCACAAGGCAATGAGTGACTGGGGGCAATAAATATCACTGGGTATCTACTTGATTACTGGCAATAAAGTAAACAGGCCATGTTACTTCTATACTCCTTATTAAAGGTGCAAGATCAGGGTGTCTGTAATCTGTCTCAAGTTATTTTGATGTTTGATACTAAATTCACATTTGAGATCACTGGCATTAAAATGACATTTTCCCCAAGGTCAGACCTTTGACAAAACATGTACTGAATGTAATAGAGTATGAACTTCACTGTGCCCCTCGTTGAAGACAAACATTCCAAGCGGGAACATTCAAGAAGTTTGATCATGTCACCTTTGAGTCATTTGACAATTTCGGAACCTCACCCTCACTTGTGGCTAACCAGCCGACCCAATGAGTGAGTGAGTGAGTGAGTTTAGTTTTAAAACCGCTTTTAGCAATATTCCAGCAATATCATGGCAGGGGACACCAGAAATGGGCTTCACACATTGTGCCCATGTGGGGAATCAAACCCAGGTCTTCAGCATTACGAGCTAACGCCTTAACCACTAGGGTACCGACCTGAAACACCACCCCACCCCACCCCCAGTAAATCCTGAAAGGATCGGCCTGCTTGCAGGTATTTTGGCATTTATGAGGCCTCTTAATGCATGTCTCTATTGCTGCAGTTACTTCTATGACTCATTGTGTTGAATGGTTTGATTTGATAGCTCATTGCCATCTTACACATTTACCATTTTCACAATTCAGCTTGGTAAAAATCAATTCAAACTAACTTTGCATTTGGAAATCACTTTGTAACAGTTGCCAGATTATACAAGGTTGACATAGCTGAGGAAAACACTTGGAACCAGTCTATACCATGTTGAAAATATCAGTTCTATATAACCAGCTTAGCATACTGGATCGCCATCACAAAATATCCTTTGAAAAAATTAGATATGCAGGGATCAATTTTCCAGCTATATAATGGCAGTCTGTAAATCATCAAATGTGGACAGACAAAGTTGTGGAGCAAAATATTAAGTTGCATTTTTCAGTAATGATTTGGAGCATGTTTCACATACCTAAACTGAGCTATGATATGTCAAAAAATAACACAATGATTCCCAAATGCAGCACCTTATGAGTTCACCTGTGAACATCTGGGTTAGTAATCAGTTAGTCTTCGGTAATCCATGCTTGTTGTAAGAGGCGACTAACGGGATCGGGTGGTCAGACTCGCTGACTTGGTTGACACATGTCATCATAGTCCAATTGCGTAGATCGATGCTCATGCTGTTGATCACTGGATTGTCTGGTCCAGACTCGACTATTTACAGACCGCCACCTTATAGCTGGAATATTGCTGGATCGGCGTTAAAGAACAAACCAACCAACCTCAGTAGTTCCTTTAACATGTCTAACATGACCCTAAAGTTATATTTACACTATACCCAGATAGCATTCGGAGGTTGGCCCAACGTTGGCAATGTAGGCAAAGCCATTGCCAACGTTGAATAACGCCTGAATGCTATCTGGGTAGTAGCCATCCTGGTAGTTGATCCACAATATTATTTCACAACAAAAACTAAGGTTAGGTCTCTTATAAAAAGGTTGGGTTAATTAGGTCCATGAGCTTACAAAGAAATAGATTATATAGATTTATATACATTTTGATGGTTGACTTACCATGGAATGACTGTCAGTCCTAACATATTATAAAATAATGATTGAAATAATTATATCAATATGTTTCATCCTTAATTAATTGAAATAATTCAGACTAGTCCCGATCAGCTCTTTTGTATATCTGAAGAAATAAATAAAATACGATGATATAATGTTTTCTAAAAAATATTATTTTATTTCGCGCTCCATCATTTAGGCCCACTGGTTCAGACCCTCATCGAAATGAGATGCTCCCGATGTTCGCAGTAACAGAAGGTCGTGTGCATATGTTCATCTACATAGATCACTCACATGAGTAGTAACACGGGTATACAGGTGATATATGCACAATTTCGAGCGTATAATTTACCATGAGTCCCTTACCAATTCGTCATCAATCTTCAGTAAACACAACTTCACTGGCAAACGTCATAAATTTTCTCCATTTCGATACAAAATTGTGAATATGTGTCAGTAGACATTGTGTTCATTTGCACGGTCCAACCTACCTGAAACTATGCTGATATATATGACGTATATTTCCATGTGTGTCTGGTCAACTTTTGTGTCCTTTGCCTTCTTTCGCCGCCCCGGATTTGTCACTCATATTTCCGTCCGTGTTAGCAGAAAACAGCGCCGCTTGTTAGAATGAGGCTCTAAAGCACAGGGTCATTTATACCGACGGTACACATTTTAAGTGAATCGCTTGATAGAATGTCCTGCAAAAAGTAAGATCGAGTTACACATGTTTGACGTTGCGTAAAGTTCAAGGTATGTGACGGTACAAGCAAGTCTTTTTTACCTGACTGAACATAACTGATAAAAGCTTCTGGATCAGATGAAACTCGGGGATTTATGCCGCTGAGGTTATGATGTTCAAAGTGCGCATTTGTCAAGTGAGTGAGTGAGTTCGGTTTTACTCCGCTTTTAACAATATTCCACGGCGGGGGAAACCAGAAATGGGTTTCACATGTCGCGTATTTTGAAATATTCTTTTTGATAATCGATTTTAATCATTTTAAACTACCTATAAACACAATCTATTCTCACGTTACAGTATCTAACCAATATATCCTAGTACACATCACCTTGTCCATTCATATATTTTGGTTCGATCCATCTATCCACCTATATTTAAGTACAACCGCTTCACTTCACAGTCTCTACATGTTAATGTGTGTTTGCTTTTAATTTCCCTAATGTGTTTTTATTTTATTGCTGCACAGAAGGTTATTCTGAATAAGCTATTTACACGAGACTTATTATTTGTTTAAATACAAACCGGTAGCCTATAGTGAAATAGTATGTACAGTATAAAACCAAGCGGCAATTATACTGTACTAAAATGCACCAATCAAACATTACAAATCATCAACACAAACCATCTGCACAAAACAACTGAAATTCAGCTCTTCTTTCTCCCCTGTACTCTCCCTGTTATTCTTACAGACACACTGAAAACAGATTTGGTAGGTGTCCCTATAGAAATAGCCTGAACAAGCCTAGATGGAACATTTGGTATCCATTTGGCTATCAGATTAAGTACACTCTTAAAACAAGTGATTTTGAGAATATTAGACTCATGTAGCTGCGGCAAAAACAATACAAATATACTATACTACGCACATAAAGAAACTGTGCATACAAAAATTTAAAATCTAAATTTATCAAACCTGTGTAGACACATAAGGATTTAAACTCAGAGATTAGTGACATGTATCCAACATGCATGCACGTGCCATGTTCCGTGACGTCAGTGGGTTCGTCCTTGAGACGTGCAATACGTTGTTGCACGTGCATTCCGGGAAAGGGAAACAGAGCAAATGAATGCCACACAACACTGTCACATTGGAAAGCTCAACCCCTGCCCTTGCGATCGTTCAAAAAATTAAACGGCTATTGAAACGCATAGCATGCCAAGGATCACGTCTGCACAACGTCATGAGGCCATTGAGATGGTCCGTGGGGGATTGTCTCAACGACAAGTGGCTGCACATTTCCACTGCCACCGGAACACCATTTCTGCACTGGTGAGACGCTACCGAACACAAATGACGTCATCGATCGGCCACGTTCTGGACGTCCACGTGTAACAACGCCAAGACAGGAAAGATAGATAAGGGTGACCCATCGTCGCCACAGGTTTCAGACTGCAGTGATGACTGCCCGAACCATCCCAGGACTTCGCCATATCCACCCCAACACAGTTCGACAACGTTTACGTCATCACGGGATCAGACCACGACGTCCGGCCATGCGGCCTATCCTGACACAACGTCATCGACACGCTCGCCGAATGTGGTGCCGAAATCATGTCCGCAGACCCTTGTTTTGGTGGAGAAATGTTGTTTTTACAGATGAGTCCAGTTTTAACATTTCCCATAGTGATGGACGTCAACGTGCCTATAGACGCGTGGGAGAACGTTATGCACAGGCCTGTGTCTTGGAGAGGAATCGCTTTGGTGGTGGTTCCGTGATGATTTGGGGTGGAATAACAGCACGCCAAAGACCTCCTTTGGTGATTGTTCAGGGCAACCTAACTGGTGTGGGCTACAGGGATCAGATTCTTCGACCTGTGGCAATTCCTTTTCTGCAACGTCATGGCCCTGGGTTAAATTTCCAACAGGACAATGCCCGCCCTCATACGGCAAGGGTTGCTATGGATTTCTCGCAACACCACAACGTTGACTTACTGCCTTGGCCTGCAAATTCACCGGATCTCTCACCGATAGAGCATGTTTGGGACGAGATGGATCGACGTCTACGCCGTCTTCCTCATCCGCCAGATAACGTCCTTGACCTTGCAACAGAACTTGAGAGAATCTGGCGGGACATCCCACAAGCCTTCCTTGCACGTTTGATAGGCTCTATGCGTCGTCGATGCACTGCTGTTCTCAATGCCGATGGTGGACATACCCGTTATTGAGCTTGTGACATAGTCGTTTGACCCCTGTCCCGCTTGTGGACTCGTGACGACATTGTGATTGACTTTTCAATTGAAATTCTCCCGACTTGTTATGGTCTCATGATCCCTCCATTGAAGTTTATATGTACCTTTGACATTGTTATCGTACTTATCAACTGGAATAATATTTTGACAATGCACAGTTTCTTTATGTGGCTAGTATATTGTATAAAATGACAGTAGAACTGTAAAAATGCCTGCATATACGGTCTAGACCTTTAAACTATTGCAGCTCCATGTGGAATCATAAGCATCGATGTCCTAAGGATAGTCTGCCTATAAGAGTATAAGTAAAAACTAATGAAGTCCAGAATAATTTGGTTAAGTCTAGATTGTGTCAGTTCTGTCAATTCTGGGCTCCCATTTTGGTTTCATTTTGTATTTTGAAGATTTATATTTTTCAATGCAATGACTCTATTTCTGGAACTGCATGTGTCTATTTCAGAGATCTCTAAAGTGTTAAAGTTTACTGCGGACAACACTAAGTGCCATAAATCCACACGATCGAAAAGATCACGTGAGGTAAACATAGCATTTCCCTGAAGTTGTATTTTCAGTATGTAATCCCTACAGCAACGACCGATTCTTGCACTGGAATGGTGGCATAACTGCTTTACTTGCTGAAAAAACAACAACCAAGTTTCCTGGCGTTTGATAGCTTTTAAACAATTCATTGATAAGAACGACTTTTAACGCTTTAGAATCCCCGAGCTCCACAGCACTGCGTCTGGTAAGGCTGCATTTATCTGCAAAATCAATACTCCATACTCCGTGCAGAGAGGTATTAGTGTGCTTTGAAATTATATTAAGTTAGCCTGAAGTTAGATAAGAGCAAGCCAATATGATTTCCCAAGGTGGCACATTATCACTGGGATATCATCCGTTAAGAATACTGTGGTGATATCAAAGAACTTTGTCCGCACGAAGAACGAATTTCTTGTGGGTTCACTTGACTGGTTTCTGTGACAGCTCTTAAATTGAATCACTGACTGACTGACTGAATATGGTTTTACGCCGCTTTTAGCAATATTCCTGCAATATCCCGGCGGGGACACCAGAAATGGGCTTCACACATTGTACCCATGTGGGGAATCGAACCCGGGCCTTCGGCGTGACGAGCGAACGCTTTATCCGCTAGGCTACCCCACCGCCGTTAAATGGAACCACTAATAGCCTGATAGTGTATTAGGTCCACGGCGTTTGCACGTTACCCGTTGACTGTAACATCAGATACTGCTCCGTGTTAACGCACGGAGCTATCAGCTCATTTCATAGTCCCTGAACCGTATATAATTCTTCCTTCCGCTCTTTCCTCTGTTATACACATACCAAGATTAAGTAGTCTTGGTTCCGAATCTGCCATAACATTGGGCCTCTTTCTCAGCTGAAATGGAGCCATTAGTTTATATGATCATTATATGTTAACGTTAGTGTACGGGCTAACGGGTAAGCGTTTTTTCCAAAAGAGCATTGTGTAACAAGCGAAAACAGCTTTTCCCGCCAATGAAGTTCGCGCTTCCCGGGTGCCAGAAGATTTATCACCTTATTTCCAATGAAGAACACAGTAATAGGTCCCAGCGGTCAGCCGAGTGTTGTAGACTAGAGTATCAGCCGATTTGTTCATGGTAGAGCAGTTTGTAGATGAACAAATGGGACTGATTAATAATTAAAGTCAGGCGAAATGGGGATTACCAAAGATTTGATGTCGTGTTACGATTAGTGCGCACATATAGCAACATGTGTGCGCACAATCACCAATGGCGGTTTTATAGAGCTAGTCAAATGAAATACCAAATCAACGTTTAAAACGAACGTGCTTGTAACGAAGGCATTGATATAACGAAGTGTTTGTTTGTCCCGACCATTTGCTGTGTACTTTAGTCGAAACGCGTATAATGATCTGCGGTTACATCAAAGAATAATTAGTGGTCCATTTGAGTTCGTTATAGTGTATTGTATCGAGGGAGTGAGTATGATTTTACGCAGCTTTTAGCAATATTCCAGCAAAATCAAGATGGGGACACCACAAATGGGCTTCACACCCCAGATAGCATTCGGACGTTGGTCGTTGGCAATGTTGGCAATGTTGGCAAAACCATTGGCAACGTAACGTCTGAATACTATCTGGGACATTGCTAACCATGTTGGGAATCGAACCGTCTTGATTGTGACATCCATTGACCATTAGGCTACCCCCGCGGGATCCCCCCACCGATCCCCATGAATGGAGAGATTCCCGACCTTCGCTCCAGACACACCCACTGTCCACTACTCCACTGAGGCATCTCACATTAGAGCAGTTGAACTTCTTAACACTAAATAGGACACCAGTAGATTAAAACTCCCTAACAGATGTGACAGTCAGTTAAAATGCATTATATCAAATTTGTAGTACAAACCTGTGAGTACATTGTCATCTGCAGAATGACACTTCAGGTTGACAGGGTAGATTTATTCCTCAAGGACCTTTCAATGCTACATCTCAGGAGGCCTTCCTCTCACGCCCATGTGTTTTGTTCACATATTTCAAGATTTTGGATGAACTTTGAGCAGTAGTTGAGATACATCAGCTTGATGTGAGAGGCAAGCTGGAAGAGATGTCTGGCTGTATCATGGGGACTGGGTTCAGTCTGGACCAGACAAACCACTGACAGTCAGTGTGAGTTGATGATCTGA